TTAAGGGGATGTATTAGACTTATCGTACGTTATCCCTTATTTGTGCGGACACAACCCCTCCTTCCTAGTGTTGCCGCGAAGTGAGGTCAAGGTCGCCTTAAGGTGTCGGAGTTCATACCTTGATGCACCTTGAAGCGCCACAAGGTGAGCTTGAAGTGGGCACGTGCTAGGCTTGCACAGCGAGCATGGGTAGTCTGGGGATCTCGGTGTACTGCGAAAGGTTGCAGTCTTGGTATTACGAGTCAACATTGTATCTACTTTCCTCGCGAGCCTGTCGTAATACATAGGAGATGCGTCCCGGACTGAATACACTACTGAGAATTGTTCTCATTGAAGCCATGCTCCGAAAACGGACTGTAAGCCGCCGGCTCGTATGGGTGGCTCAGATGATGGTCCTGGAGTGTTACCGGGGTGTCGCGCATATGCAGAGCTTGGCGCGGGAGTACAAGAGTAGTGATGAGAGCCAGGAGGGAAGGTCGATCGTGACTGAGGTGTAGAGGGAAGGGGAGCAGTGGGCTGCAGAAGCTCAGAGGTTTGGCAGCTGCATTGTGCAAGATTTCTCGCACCGCAGGAAGCACAGCCGTGGATTAACATGGGAAAGGAGAGATGCTTCTACTCACTACCTGGTATGTGTTTTATGCCTTTCCGGACTCTGCTCTTCGACCAAACATTGCATTGCTGCTCATCATCTACGTTACACATGCATAAGATAAATACCTAGGAAACGTTTGGTGAGCTCTAAATGACCCAAGAGAGAACATACAACATCAAGAGACATGGTTGAAGTGCGTGCAGCTGATGGGAGAAAGCAGGCTGGCGGGAACGAGGAGAGGAGAACGCGTCGCAGTCCGGCACGTGACCAGATGAAGCGCATCGTACCAGTCGGCCCGACAGCGGATACTTGGAGCCGCCGAGAGTCCACACCTTGAAGCGACCTTGACTTACCTTGAGCTGACCTCAAAGCGACCTTGATGGTCGATTTTCATACTCCGCTCAAGGCAAGGTGCACATTGACGTGAAGTGACCTCACTTCGCGGCAACACTAGGGCGAAACGCCTCAGTGGGTATGCAGGTTCATCGCCATATTTACCAGGTTGATGTCGCTGTTACGCTCCCCATTGCCAAGAAAACATCTCTTGGTTCTGTCAGCACGTGCTAGCAAGCCGGCCTTTGCCGCAGCAATGCTCGTTTCTGGACCAATGATCAGACAAATTGGACCTGACTTGATTGACTGCGGTGCGGTCGTTGGGGTGTAAGCTGACGATGATCTTGTCGCGGTCTGCAATGTGACGACAGAAGTGCTCGACCTGTGGCGCGGAGCCTCGGCGTCAACAGTCAAATTGAGACCCATGAACAGGAGGCGAGTCCATGCATACCAATCGGCGTAGCGGGTTGATTCTATCCTCCGATCCCTTTCCGACTCTACCCCACGCAGCCTTCACAGCTTCGCGCACCTCCACCGGAAACTGCGCCTGCGAGAGCATCTCTGGGCTGTACACATACCAGAACATTGTTCCATGCTTAGCTGCGCAATCGGCCGTTGGCCTCTTGACGATCTTAGTGTACTGCACTGCAAGACTGGCGGCCTCTTCCTTCGAAATGCGGAAGATAACCTAATGGAAAACGTGCCTTGTCGCATTGTGCATGTGAAGAGTCGCACGCTTGTATCTGTTGACTTGATAAGATCCTCCCGTGCAGGAGTCAGGACCTGGGCACATCTTACATGTCGTTAGACCCTGCTCGGCCTTATCAACGTATCCCGAATGTGAGGCGGAATCATTAATGAAATGCTCAGCTCAGCGTAAACTCTACGCAATCAGGAGCGTCGCAACAGAGCCAAGTCAACGCTTGCACGCCTCCAAGAGCTATGTACCTGTAGGGTCAAGCCGTGCATAGTGTATTGCAATACACCGCAACCCTATGCGATAGCCTAGCAACCAAAAACCTGGAAGCAAACTTGACAACTCACCTTACCTGCAGCCGTGAGTCATCTGGGACTTTGTCGCCCTCGATCAACTCCCGCACGAACTTGAGATCGGCGTCACTCGCAGCGGGCCACGTGACCTCGATTTCCTCGAAATCCCATTTCACGAGCATGTCAAAGGACACTAACACTAGCGTCAGCAGCGCGATAGTCTGGTTGTCGTCCGTCAGATCCGTGGACAGCTAATTTTCCGGTTTACTTGTGAAGGTCTTGTGCGGTCTGAAAGATAAACACGTGTATATCATCGAGGTTGGGTCGAGCGACTGGCTCTGCAAGCCTGTTTCATCAGGTTAGCGAGACCACTTCAACATAGACACAATGAACCTCGTGCAATGTTGAGGAATGGGTACCACTAGGGGTCTCTTGAGCAGAACATATATGACCAGGAGCTAGGTAGACCTCCGAAGGTGCGCATGCAGACCTATCAAAGCGTATCATGCGAGACGGGGCGCTCATCATCGCAGGTGAGACAACTCGAAGGGTTGATTCCTGCATGTGAGGTGGTCACTACGAGTTTATGTTCTGATCTAGAGCTGACAGGCAAAACCAGAAACCACGGCTCTGATGACGCAGGAGATGAGTGGTGGGGGCCAAGAGCCAAGAAGCGACGCATGGTCGAACCTTCCTGATTGGTACAAATACCCTCATCAATTCATGCGTCACTTTGAATCGAGTTGCGCACTCGGGATCCGGCAAACAGCCGGTCAAGGACGAATAAATCACAACAGCAAAATACAGTACGACGAGTAGTAGACAGAACGGAGATAGTACAGGGAACCTCAGCAGTGCGATGGGTAGAAGCATCAAAACTTGAAATCCTTTTCCTTTCGTCGCTCCCTGTCCCTGTCTGCCTTCTGCTTCTTGTTCGCCATCTCCTTCGCTATCATATCTGAGAAGTCTTCCTTGGAGCCAGGCACGCCCGCAGAACCACGCGAGTGCTGATCATACTTGCGCCGCAAATCCTCTGTCGACATGCCCTCCAGCTCCGCCGCGTCGATCGATACGTCCACACCGGTACCGCGGCGCTGTCACAAATAGATGTCAGCATTCCCTGCACGATACATTCGAACGGTGAAGGATAAACCCACCTTATTGCTCCGCTCCTCGTTCCCGATAACGGGGATAGCGCCTCCGGAAGTGACCGCGCTGACGTCGTACCCACGCTCGCTGCCCATGAGACCCCGAACGGACGTCTGCTTCTCCGGCACGACCTGGTAGAGTGACCTCGGGCCACTCTCCGCTTCCGATGTGGAGCGCGTAGCGTTCTTCCGGAGCTCCAAGAAGTCTGGCGTCTCGAGTCCACCGGCGACTGTCGACACGACACTTGCCATGCCGGACGGTGTCTCGAGACCCGACGGTGTCTGCGTTCCGTCGACGGGCATCGGGTGTTGCTCCTCTTCCTCCTCTTCCTCTGAACTCTCCTCCTCCTCCTCTTCTTCCTCCTCTTCCGGCTCGAGTTCACCCCACAGGTTGCGGTCAACGGGCTCACCCATCTAGAAATGGAAGTCAAAACCTCTATCGGAATAGGAAGTATTACAGATCACTCACGTCGGCATCGGTGTTTTTGGGCAAAACCCCGAAGACATCACCGTAGAGCGGTCGGTTGTACTCATCGAGGGGAGGCTTGCCCCAACCGCCGGGGTGGAAACCCCATTGCGCTCTAATGAGATGTGTTAGGTCGGTAGACAGGTCCAATAGATGAATCCTTACCCTTCCGGTATGGGAGCGTTCAGTCCAGGTATCCGGAGAGTGGGATAACTAGGCGGGGGACCAAAACGCTGCATGCTAATCAACCACGGTGGTGGCGCGAGTGGCGGTATTGACAATGCTTCGACAAGCTCAGGCGAAAGATCTCCCGGACGTTTATGCTTCAACTGCGTCTCGAACTCCTTGCCCTCGTAGTACCTGAGAACGGTTAGACAACCCCTGAAGCAAGCAAAGATAGACCGCGTACATCTCTCCGAAACCCGTTACATTAGGCTTTGTCATGAACTTGAAGAACGCGTCGTGTAGCTTTTGATAGTCAATGTCCACCTTGCCCATCTTTGGCTGTACACGTTCGCGAGTCTTCGCCTTGAGCGTCATGTTGGCCTCCTTTTCTTTAATAGCGTCTCGCATGGTCGCAATGCCCGTGTCCGCGATGTAGGAGGGGAGTTGGAATGGCGGCTTCTCGATACCACGCTTGCCCTGGAGGTAATCGCGCTTAGCGCTCCAGTGGGCAGGGATAGGAACCGTGTTTCTGTAGCTCTTCAGGTGCAAGAGGAGTCGTGGGTCGGCGGCCGTGACGTCTGTCCACTCGACGACTTCGGGCTTCTTCACAAGCTGCTTGAGCTCTGCAACCGTAAGTCTGTTCATCTTGCGCGCCTTCTTCTTTGACAAGGGCTTCTTCTCCTCTGCATCTGAGTCACCCTCGGATGCCATGTCGTCATCTGAGTAGATGACCTCTCCTTTTGATGGCTCGCCCTCTCGGACCTAATGAATGACGGCTATGAACGACCACAAGGCACTATAAAAATCATGGCTGCTCACTGTTGTCGTCTCAGCGGGAGCCTGAAAACGAGCAAAGACGTTGGAGAATGCTTCGAGAGCTGGATCTTTTACGTCCAACTGCTCAGATACGTACTCAACATTCTGTGGCTTGTCCTCCTCCATCTTGACGTCTTCATCTGGTGTCCCATTCACGGTCTCCGTCTAGCCAAGGCAAAACATGAGCAACATACAGGTACGCGTAACTCTTCTATAACGTACCTTGACTGCCTTTTCCTCCGCCTTCTTCGCCTTGGCCTTCATCCGACGAAGCTGGTTCTTCGACTTGATTTTGCCATCGGTCTTTGTGCCATTTGTGGCAGTCACATTCGCAACTTGCGTAGCCATTATTGATGAGGCACAAGATAGCGAGAAGGACCGAGGAAAGGTTCGAGACGGGAGACAACAAGGAGTTGCTGCTGTGTATGGCAGAAGCGAAGCCGCCCCTGTTGCTGACGTAAGTGTGACCAGACCTTCCTGATTTGTGGTAATGTCGGGGTTCGAAAATGGCTCGGCACCAGCCGACGAGGTCGAATGGCAAGTCGGGCACAGCAAATTTTGCTGCAATCAAGGTCTCTGACCACCACCACCTCCCGATCTATCGATCCCTGCTCGCTACCGACATAGCCAGACTCTAGTCGACGAGGCCGTCGACTTTTTACGACCAGAAACTACCCAGAACAAGCGTCTTCAATATGGCTACGTGAGTCTTCGTCCACATTGGATCCTAGGACGATCTGGCATGCTAAAATCATGTTCCTGTAGCGAAGGATCTCTCCAGGACCTCCAGGAGAATGAGATTGAGTCCAATTGGGACCAGATTGTCGACAAGTAAGTGCATATAGTAGCGGGGCGTGCGCGATCGGGGAACTGAATTCCTTTTCAAAGCTTCGACAACATGGAACTGAAGCCCGAACTTCTCCGTGGTATCTACGCCTACGGGTGAGTCCCTCTTTCGACACCAGCCGCTGCCCCCAAATTCAAGTATCGACTGCGCTCTAGATTCGAGCGTCCGTCTGCTATCCAGCAGCGTGCTATCGTCCCTGTTATCAAGGGCCACGACGTCATCGCGCAGGCCCAGTCCGGTACTGGCAAGACCGCGACCTTCTCCATCTCCATCCTCCAAAAGCTTGACCCTGCCATCAAGGGCACCCAGGCCCTCATCCTTGCGCCCACTCGTGAGCTTGCTCAACAGATCCAAAAGGTCGTCATCGCCCTCGGCGACTACATGAATATTGAGTGCCACGCGTGCGTCGGCGGCACGAATGTCCGTGAGGACATGGCGAAGCTCCAGGAGGGCGTCCAGATCGTTGTCGGTACTCCTGGTCGTGTATTCGATATGATCAACCGTCGCGCGCTCCGTACTGACAACATCAAGATCTTCTGTCTCGACGAGGCTGATGAGATGTTGTCTCGTGGTTTCAAGGACCAGATCTACGAGGTCTTCCAGCTCCTTCCCCAGGACACTCAGGTCGTCCTGCTCTCGGCTACGATGCCCGCTGATGTGTTGGAAGTGACGAAGAAGTTCATGCGCGACCCCGTCCGTATCCTCGTCAAGCGTGACGAGTTGACGCTCGAGGGTATCAAGCAATTCTACATTGCCGTCGAGAAAGAGGAGTGGAAGCTGGACACGCTTTGCGATCTTTACGAGACTGTCACTATCACCCAGGCCGTCATCTTCTGCAACACGAGGAGGAAGGTCGACTGGCTCACGGAGAAGATGCACTCGCGGGAGTTCACTGTCTCTGCCATGGTGAGTGTTCAGACGTCATAAACGCGACCTGGGTTAGCCGACGATTTACGTTTCCTACAGCATGGTGACATGGACCAGAAGCAGCGTGAGCTGCTGATGAAGGAGTTCCGTTCCGGCTCCTCCCGTGTTTTGATCACAACGGATCTGCTTGCGCGTGGCATTGACGTGCAGCAGGTTTCGCTCGTCATCAACTACGATTTGCCTACGAACCGCGAGAACTACATCCACCGCATTGGTCGTGGGGGTCGTTTCGGACGGAAGGGCGTGGCTATCAACTTTGTTACCACGGAGGATGTGCGCATGCTGCGCGATATCGAACGTAAGTGACATGCTTCTTCTGGAGAACGTGCAGTGGGACTGAACGCTACTTCCTTAGAATTCTACAACACCCAGATTGATGAGATGCCTCTGAACGTCGCGTAAGTGGCGGTTATTTACTGTGCAAAGCGTACTGGATATTAACACAATGATGGCTGCAGCGACCTGATTTAGATTTTATATTCGCCTTGCTGTTCCCTATTTGTAACATCGCACACTCGCCATCAACATCGTCCTGATATCGCCTGCGGATCAAAAGCGCACAGTCGTCCATCGTCTCTCAGCATCTTGCCATTACAATCGATCGCCATCGTCACCCGTCGTATACTCCCTCGCCCTCCACAGCACCTGCCATTGCCCGTCGCCATCACCACGAGACTAGTGTACCAGCGCACTGAAACGCCTTTTGTTGTATATGCCCCGTACTGTGGTCTGGTTTCCTGATGTCTGCTGCGTGTTTGTGTATATGTATGCCCCGAAGACAGTACGATTCGATGATAATGATGATGATGACGATGATATATCTATTCTGATGAGTGTGCTGCGCGTTCAGGAATGGGCAATCAGTGATGTGCAGTGTCGGGCGGGGGCCAGGCACGGCTGAGGCTGTTGGGGGGGGGGGCGTCTGAGTGGGCAGGAATGGGAATGGCGGGGGCGGTGGCGGCTGTCAAGGCCACACTCCTCAAAACAGGCCGGCTGTTCGCTTGCGCGGGCGACAGCTGCCCAGTCCCTGCTACCCGCTCGTGCCTCCGACTCCCGACTACCGAGCAGTCGTCTGATTAACGACTTGGGCACCTCCTATTTATTGTCCGTCCCATGTCCACCTCCCGCTAGCATAGGCCGCCTTCGCCTTCGCTCGTTCTCCCGCCACTTCAACTTTCTTCATTCCAATCCCGACCCTTTATTCTTTACGCTTTCTCGACGAGCTTGGGCCACACCACCCGCACAGCAACCAGCCTCAGACCAGGCCCCATCCGCCTTTTCTTCATATAAGTTATTATATATGGTCAGCAGCCCCTCATTCTCGTCCTTCCTTCTCGTCCGCTCACTCACGCCACATCTCCGCCCTGCTGGTCAGATATTACACATGCCTCAACTCTCGCTCTGCACTTCAATCGCGCAACTTCCGCGCTCCGCCCTCTACGGCGACGCGTCCTCCCCGGCGCCCTCGCCACTCCAGCCGGAACCCCCTGCGCAAATCACCGAGAACGTCTTCCTCGGCGACCTATCTGCAGCCGAGTCCCCAGAGATCCTCACCGCTCTAGGCATCACGCACGTCCTTAGCGTCATGTCCGGGCACGTCGCGCTTCCCTCCCACTCTGAGCTCCCCCACCTCCCCCCATACCAGCCCCTCCAACGGATGCAGGTCCAGGTACAAGACCACCCGTTCGTTGAGCTCGCCTCACACCTTCCCCGGACCACCGCATGGATAGCAAACGCCCTCCGGGACCCGCACGCGCGTGTGCTGGTCCACTGTGTGCAAGGCATCAGCCGGAGCGCAACCGTGGCCGCCGCCTACCTCATGGCGACCAGGGGCCTCTCGCCCGTCGCAGCGGTGGCTCGGGTGAAGGAGCTCCGACAATGCGCGAATCCGAATGAGGGTTTCAGGGGGCAGCTGCTCGAGTACGAGCAGTGTCTGCTGAAGAACCGCGCGCGCGAGCACTACTCACATGCACATTCGTACAGGCAGGTGCGAGGCGAGCTGCGGTAGGCGATGCTTCGCATTGGCCGGATGAAAGCCTCCTCCAAGTCGTGCGTCCGACTGCAGCCACAGTCGTTTGCATGGATGCAGGCCCGATGTCGTAACGGCGACATACGGCCTGCTTCTTTTGAGGTCAGCTAGCTGTGTTGCCATTGCTTTCTATGCCGACATAACTATTGCTATTGTTCGGTGTAATATGCCCTTCTTATGCTCGTTCTATCCGTTAGTTCGGCCTTCACTATTTCTACGTTCTCTACTGTCATTTCTCAGCTCCATATTATCAATTGTCGGACTCACACCGTCGTCCTCGCTCTACGCGCTACACTACATGATATGTCGCCATTATCCAAGCCTTTGGAATGAAAAGCACCATAATATCCGACCACTCGGGCCGGGGTGGTATTATCCACTTACTGTAAAACGCGATACCCATGTACATAATCATACACTACGTGTCGTTGTCATTGAGAAGAAAGAAAGTTCGAGAAGTCTCTCCTAGGGATGCGGAACGTACTTAGATTGATCGCGCCTCTATTGACTGATGGCGTGCCAGAGTGCAGCACTCGTGTGCTTGCACCCAACATTCCACATCGCCCACAGTCCTCCATCTGACGCTGCGTCAGCCACCAAGTGTCTTGTCACTTCCCAAAAAGTTACTGACCAGTGTCATGTGCCAATGACCAGGCTGCCATTTGAACATGCATCCCTCTAAAGGAGTCTGGACGTCGCGGGACGCCGCCACCAGAGGGAAAGCGATGCAAGCAAGCCGATAAATTGAGGCCCACGGCAGCGTCCGTGCAGGCTTTTGATTGCATTCTTGCGTCACACACAAGATCTTTGGTCCCTGGAAGATCGCTCGCTTGGCGTTCTGACAGCCTCCATCAGCCCTAGGCATCTCAGCTGTTCTTTGCTCCGTCGTCGCGCAACATCGACCGTGTATTTCGGGGCTTGATATCAGACGTCGGGCCGGATGATCTGGGAACATCGACGTGCGGCGCTGGCTCGGGCGCGTTCAGGCGGTACACGTATGAAACGAACAGTTGGACATACAGAGCAGGAGACGTGTTGGCGGAACCGATTTGCATATGCACGTTCCAAGGGCGCAACAGAACTCATTGGAGCTCGACGGGGAGGATGGAGCATCGGATGATCCGTGCTTCGATCAACTGTGGCTGGAAGTTCCAGGGAAGCAGGGTTTTAACCACCCGCCCACAGAACGTGTCACGGCCGGACATGGCACTGACCCGGACTTGTGCTACCTTGTGGGTGGCAATCGGGGAAGCACATTGGCGTTCCATGAGTGCTTTCTAGTTGAACGCGTAGCATCGGACCGGCTCGAGAACAGTTTTGCAGCAGACCCGTTGTGCACGCCTTCGAAACGCGCAAGTTCGGTGGAACACCACCTCCTCGTCCACAAAACTTCCTATCCTGGTTTCCGTGAAACTCACGTGTACAGCTACATAATACAGTACATACAGAACTACCGTTGTCCACGAGGCTCCTACACACAGCAAATAAGACCATAATAAAACGACCGTCCACGCCACAACGTCAGCGCCTAAAGCATCCGGCGTCCTTCGTACAGCGCGCCAGCGGTGAGAGCACGCGGTTTGCTCTAGCAGCAGCCACCCTTGGCTTGTTCGTCCAGCGCCACCCCGCTCGAAGGCTTCGACAGCTTGACGCCCGGCGACTAAACATCAAGCAAAAGACGACGATCAGCGCCAGCCCAAGCGAAAGTCCGCAGTCTCCCAGCGGTGCACATGCAAGACGTCCGACATGTCGGAGTTGAGGTGAGTTCACCATCACAGGGGGAAGGCGACGCAAGCACTGTCAGAATAGGATATATGACATGCGGAAGCGTGCCGCACGGACGAAACATTCCGACAAGACCTGCGCGAAAGGCTCGAGACGGAGGAACATACACGCACCCTGTCGTCGTCAAACACGCCACGGCGGACCTTCTCGAGGATGTCGCGCGTCGCACGCTCGAACGCTGCCTCGACGTTCTCGCCGGACTTCGCGCTCGCCTCCAGGAACAGCAGCCCCTCCTCCTGCGCCCACAGCTCGCCCTCCTCCGTCGTCACTTCGCGTTTGCGCTTCGGGGCGGGCGCGTTCGGATCGTCTGTGCAGAGATCGATCTTGTTCCCGACGAGGATGCAGGTGAGGTGCGGGTCCGCGTGCTCGCGCACGTCTTGCAGCCACGACCGCACGTTCACGAAACCTGGCAGCAGGGCACAGGGAGGCGGTGAGCATGCATACGTACTCCGACACTGGCACTGACACTCGACCCGCGAGCGGGCGCGGGCGCGGGCGCGGGTATGTTGCGAAACGCACTTTGTCGGCTCGTAACGTCGTACACGAGCAAGCAGCCTGCAGCTCCCCGGTAATACGACCGTGTGATGGATCTGAAGGACTCCGTGCCAGCAGTATCCCAACCTGTGTTTACGCTGTCAGCACTGGGACTGTTGCGCGCAGCAGTGCTGCTGCGACGCGTTGGGCCGCGACGCCCGCCGACGCGCAGATTGGTCCACGTACATTGAAGCTTCACGACCTTGTTCTCCTCCGGAATGGTGATAAGCTTCGAGCCGAACTCCACGCCTAGCTGTGCGCGCAGACACGTCTCAGCTCGTACATGAACAGACGAACAGAGAAGATCGGTGAACGTACTGTAGGGTCCGGGTTTGCGAGGAATCGCTGGTCCGTGAGTCGGATGAGTAACGATGACTTCCCCACGGCGGCATCACCTATGTCCCGATTTCCGACATGAGTAATGCGCACGAAGACATGTACGGAACGCAGCGTGTATGTGTACATATACATTAACGCAGTCATTGAGCTTGAGGAACTGGCTCGGAGGAATGCACAACTCCGGGAACCGGGATGGCTGGGTATTGCTTGGAACGTGAGAGACTCACCGGTTATGATGAACTTGAGAACGTAGTGCCAAGCAACGCCAGCCATAACACAATTTATCCTCTATAGGGTATGAATGGGTGTCGGATGTCAAGAGTCAGAGAGCTGCGGTATCCCTGGAGAATAGAGGTGTGCCGAGTCGAAGTAGCGGTAGCGCTAGAGAGGTGTAGAAGGTCACGATGAACGCTGCAAGCAGTACAAGTCGTAATCAGAGCTCAGAGAACGCGTTTGTGAGCCAAAGAACAGGCAGAGGTGTGAGGGAGCAGGGAAAAGGTCGTTGTCGTCGTAAGGCGTGGAGTGCTGCAAGGTCCGGGAGTCGCGACGTCGCCAGAGCCACCGCGCACGTGGCGGTTCGGAGCTACCCGGGAACCCTCAGCTCTGCGCCTGGCAGTCCCAGGGCGACCGCAACTATCCAGCTCATTCAAAAACTCTTCCGCCACCATGAGCAGTGCTACCTGGCGCAACGTCTTCACGTACGTCTTGGATCTATTCACCCAGTGTCATCTGACTGCGACATGCGGCGCACTGGGGACCGTTCGCTGGCTGGCAACTGACGCGACTGCGTTCCCTGGTGACTCTGCAGGTACAACAAGTACACCCAGATTGCGGCACGCGCCCTCCGTGCTTCGCTCAAAGAGGAGCAACGTGTCATTGCTGAGAAGCGTGGCTTGACAATCCTCCGCTACCAGCACTGGGAGAACGGCCAGGGTGGCCCTCAGGTGCGTGGTCTTCGATAACGCTGTTCTCGACGTAGGCTCACCATGCCTCCGTCTGTCTGTCTTTCCTCTCCATTGTCCCGGGACACTCGATGCTGCTTGGTCTCGGCGCCTTACCATATGCCGAAACCCCGCCCTCAATTTTTCATTGGACAACCCCCTCCTCAACGGTGTTTCCTCGACGCCGCTGTTTCAGACTTACCTCAACCCTCCGCCCGAGGCTGACGCTGCCAAGAAAGCAGCAGTTTAGGGCAACACCATGTACGGGTTTGGAACGCTGTATTAGACCCTAGAAATGCGTCACACTTCTTCTGCGTGATCAATGTTTCCAGTGTCCACCTTCCCGTTCTAACGACAGCCATCAATCTTGAGAAGATGCGCCGTCCGACTGGTGCATCCAGTTCTATTTCCTCGGATGAGTGATCTTGAGGCTGAGGACCACCCTGGGACAGTCGAGTATCCCATGAGGTATGCGATTTGCGGAACATCGTGCGTTATCCCCGCATACCACATCGGTCATGACCTCCAGCCGAGAGTATTCATGACGATAAATTCGACGAAGTATATTCTGACCCGCTTCGTTTCTTTTCGGATCCGAACCTGTCCCACTTTATCATCCTCAATCGTCCTCAATTGTCCTCGATCGTCCTCGCCAACGAAGACAAATGAGGTCAGTATATTCATTCGTCTGACTCGGTACTGCGGCGACGCTTCTTCCAGCTCATGTCCTTACGGAAGCCGTCTCCTCGAGAAGTGTTTCAGGCCTTGTTCTTCCCGCCGCACGCAGGGTCAGGAGGACACGCCCTCGCCTCTCGCATCCTCTGCGCAGGCTACTTTCGAGATTGGCTCTGCAGGCGGAGATTGGCGCCGAACGTAGTGCGCCCTCAATCGCCGCGCCACGTGCGGGCTCTGAGTGTACATATATGGGTGGGTGTTGCTTACGTACTGCAGGATCCAAGCACCCACCAAATATCGTCGCCTCGGGCCCGCTATCCTCGTTTGCCCTTCCTCGCCGCTACCCCCGCTCTCCTCGACGCCCTCGGCTCAACCTCGTTCCCTTCGTACGTCGCTCGTTTGTCGGTGCCGCACGTCGTGTGCCCCATCGTTCGATCGCTCATCCACGTCTCCCTCACCGCGTTATTGTTGCGTTCTCAGTAAAAACTTTCTCGCGCAAAAGTATGGCAGGTCGCGGCTGTTTTAACTGCGGAGGATGTGAGCACACAATTCCTTGTCATCTCGGCGGTCTTGGAAATCTGCTCCGATACTTCGTTTACTGATCGTCTTCTTTCGTGTCTGGTATACAGTCGGCCACCAGGCCGCCAACTGCCCCAAGGCTGGCACCCCAACCTGGTCAGCTACCATCCATCTTCCGAGCGTTCAGGAGATGCTGACCTCTGTGGTAGTTACAACTGTGGCCTCGAAGGCCACGTCTCCAAGGACTGCACGGCGGAGACCAAGGCAAAGACCTGTTACAAATGCGGGCAGGAGGGCCACATCGTACGTACCTATCTCGCTCTATCTTCCGCCGCGTTCATACAAATTCTGCCTTTGTAGTCGCGTGAATGCCCGGACAACCAAAACGCCAACGGCGGCACTAGCGGAGGCGGCAGCTACACCGCTTTCAGCAGCAGCAACTCGGGCAGCACCGAGTGCTACCGCTGCGGTAAGGTGGGCCACATCGCCCGCTCCTGCCCCGAGGCTCCCGGCGGAACCAGTGGTGGATACGGCGGCGGCGGATACTCCAACTTCGGGGGAGGTCAGCAGAGAACCTGGTATGCTGCACCTGTAGCGTCTCAACGACCTTGGCTGATATCACGCATCTGTGAAGCTATACGTGCGGTGGCGTTGGTCACCTGAGCCGCGACTGTGTGCAAGGCTCCAAATGTTACAATTGCTCGGGCTTCGTGAGTTTCTGCCTGGTCATACTCTCGTCCAAGTGCTTACACACCAGCTGCCTAGGGCCACATTTCCAAGGACTGCCCCCAGCCGCAGCGCCGTGCGTGCTACACCTGCGGGTCTGAGGGGTATGTCATCTCATAGTAGTGTCTGAGTTCCGCTGTAGCTGACCTTGGATTTCAGGCACATTTCCCGCGACTGTCCTAACAACACGGCTACGACTGCTGCCGCTGAGGGCGCCTGAGGAGTTGTTCGACTTTTGTATCACTATTGTCGCTGCTGTTTTCTTCGTGGTCGGCTGCCATGTATGATCCTCAATATAGCATAATCTTGAGTCTCGCGACCGTTCGTCAAGCATCACCCATGAGTGCAGGATGTTGATCAGATATTGACATTTGATATTCAATGGCGGCGAGACTGGGCGACGGGCGGGTTAGCGTCCAGCGATGGTCGTCGAGGTCGTTCTGGGCTGGCATCTGTGGGCGCTCGGGCGCGGAGCAAGCCGTGCCGCCCTGCGCCGGCCAATGGGGGGTTGCCTTTTCGTGACGCCAGAGCGGGCGTCTGTCTTGCGTCTGTCGTCCACGCATTTCCTCCCTTCCGTCTCTCCTCCTTGCCCATTACCTCCTCCTCGTCCGTTATCCCAATGCAAGCCCTTCGCCTGGCGCGCCCCCGGCTCCCTCTTCGCCCTGCATCTCGCGCGTTCGCCGCTGCGGCCAGCTCCGTGCACGGCGGGGCCCCCGCCGCGTCGTCGTCCGCGTCGCCCGTCATCCCGCTCTCGAATGTCGAGGCCATGTGGGAGCGCCTCTCCGCGGACGAGCAGCTGGTCATCCACCAGCAGCTCGAGGAGCTCCAGAAGAAGGACTGGAAGAGCCTCTCCATCGACGAAAAGAAGGCTGGTGAGTGCGCGGCGCCCTCTCCCGACGTCGCTATCTCTCCTCCGCCCGGACGCATGAGGGCTTTTTGCTGACGCCATCCCTTCGTGTGCGTGCTGCAGCGTACTACGTTGCGTTCGGCCCCCACGGCCCCCGTGCGCCCACCAACCCGCCTGGCACGGTCCCCAAGGTCATTCTCGGTGTGACGGGCCTCGTCGTCACTGCGACGGTCCTATTCTACAGCATTCGTGCGACCGGTGCGTACCTCTTCCCCTATCTCTCGATACGCGTGTCGTGTCTCATGCCTTTGAGCAGCTCCCCCACCGCCCAAGACGCTCTCGAAGGAGTGGGAGGAGGCCTCGAACGAGCGCGCCCTCGAGCAAAAGATCAACCCCATCCACGGTACGTTCCGGTCCCGTCCGTGTCGCGTCTGGAGCTGTTTTGACGCGTCCTTCCCCTTCTCTCCTTTCCTTTCCTGCTGTCCCGCACATCTCTACAGGTATCTCATCGGAAGGCTACTCAGGCCCCGGCTTCGTCACCCACAAGTAGACAGCCGTTTGGGCGGACGGGGCTTCTATAGAAGGAATATGGCCCGTCGCCGTCTGCTGCCAGCAGCGATGGGCAGGAGAGTGTTGTCCGCGCTGCGTCGGTCGCGGTGGTGGGCGATAATAGTTGCAACCTCGTATACTAATCTCCTGTATATTCCTGCTGTTTCAACCAACTTCGAACTGCAGATATCTGCCTGTGTGCGCGGAAATCAAGTCTATGCCATCCCTGGCCACTCCAGCGTTGCAACGGCGTGTTATCCACGTCAATCAGCCTTTGACATACCCATCAGCCCGAAGCAGAAGAAAAAGACTGCAATAAACGAAGTACAACGTCCTAGAAATGAATAATTACAAGCCCGTGTTGCTTTTACTCGAGTCCTTCTCCTTCTCTCCCTTCTCCTTCTCGTCCGCCTTCGCAGACTTCTTCTCTTCCTTCTTGTCGCCCTTGCTCTCCTCCAACTCTGCCCGCCCTATCGACGCCTTGTTGTCGACCAACGCATGCAGTGCGATCACCGCCCGCAGCAAGCTGCTGATATACACCACGAGCATCTCGTCGTTTGTCGTCGTCGCGAAGCTCGTCGTCAGCTCGGGTTCGTTCAGGTCGGGGAGCAGATTGAGCGCGTCCTGGAGGTGGTACGAGATCTGGTGGTTCAGAGGCATCTTGCCCTCGGCGACTTCGGTCAGGTAGGACTGGATGTCGGACAGGCGCGACTGGAGGCCGCGGAGGGAAGCGAGCTGCTCGGCGACGCGCGTTGCGAGCGTTGTGGTCGTGGAGTCTTTGATGTCTCGTAGGAGGTGCTCGACTCCGATCTCTTCTGCCTCTTCTGCTTCGATCGCGGAGGGGACGTGCAGGAAGGTCTTTCGTGTCTCCGTGCCGTCCTGAGGATATGACGTCAGCCGGCGAGCGAATGACGGACGTAGGGGATGACTAGGAAATGAGGGGGGAACGTACGTCCTTGATCTCCTCTACGGCAAAGTATGCATCCGTCGGGATGCCGACCGTTTGTGGTCGGACGTCAACGATGACCATGACGGGTCGTGCGATGAACTTCTTCAGCAGGTCATTGATCTCCTGGTCCGACGCACGCAGCTTTGGGCCCGTATGGTACCAGCCAATCATTCGTTCTCGTGCTATATTGCAACCAAGCACATGCGCGCGAAGGCAGATGAGGACGGTCGGATGAGGGCAAGGACATGAAAGTGAGCACGGCGGCGCATGGCGAAGGGGTGGCAACTCACGGACCGTTAACCTTCTTGAACATCTCCCACATACCCTCGATGTAGTTGTGGTCCAAGAACCATGTCTTGCTGTCCTTGTCGTCCTCCTCGAACGGAATGCCGAAGGAGTTCGCGACGTTCACAGTGGTACCGTTGTCCTGGCCTAAGAGGATACCGACGACGCGCTTACTCGAGCCTCGTGACACGGAGCGTGCATGGTGGTCCGCTACTGAAAGCAGGACCAAAGGGTGGACAACTGTACGTGCGCGTAGCGTTAGCGGTGTGATCGAATGCGGAGAGAATGTGTGACACTCACCGACTGTAGTATTTGAGAGCGCGGAGAGCTGAGCTATATCAGAAAACGCTCAAGCCATATAGCAGTGGACATACCTGCTCCGTTGTTGTTGCAACCATGGCTGAAAATACGGGTACGGAGGATACGGAGGAGGGAAGGCGGGAAAGTGGCTGAGCGCACTCGACGCGCGTACCTTGGCCTACGCGTCTTACTCTGTTTGCACGTGTTGTCCAACGCCTTCAACGCGTTCCAAATCGGGATTGCCGCCTCACGCCACCCCTCTTACTGCCACCGCGCCCTTACTACCTTGTGCCTGCATAATCGTCAGTCAAGTTTCGATGTATGTCAGACTATATCAGACAACCGCTAGGAGCTACTCTATTCCAAAGAATCTCCGGCGGCAACTGCTACTGCTACTATGTAGATGTGGCCCGTCTCTGTAGGATTGACTAGAAGGTAGAAAACTTATGTTATGTGTGGCCCTTGTCTCTGCTGATGCCATTGCTTACCAACAGTCTGGTCAGAGACATGGTCACACACATTGGTAACATTGAAGCGTTGCCCGCCTGTATCGACGAGCTTCCGGTCTCGCCACGTTGCCTTGGAATGATACTTGTTTCGTAGGTCGTCACGTAGTGGGTGTACGTGGACAATTACGGGTCTGCTTCCAGCAATCTTGACCTCGCCAGAACGGACCCCTAGCTTATATCTGAAGCTGGAGAAATTGTAGGTAAGTATTATGCTCATGAGGGCTGCCATTGTCTAATGATTACTTTAGGTTCATTCAATCTTGGGACGCATAGTGGATAGCCCATTTAGCTATGCTATGAAAGGAGCACCATGTCGGCGGCGACCATCAGTTTCACCTATTGTCTACTACCTCACGCCGAAGATACTCAGCGCTGTCTTCGTGGAGCCCCGCAACAGTGCCGACGCTTCGGAATAAGCTTGTGCTTCATACGTTCTGTACACTGTGGCGCGAAATACGTCTCGCCATGCCTCGCCTGCGGATTGCGAATTGATGGCAATCGCAGCTCGTCGCTCCTCCTCAAGTAGTTTGCGCGGTCTCAAGATCTGGGCCTTGCCTTGCTAATCGACGGTTCCAACTTGCCCAGTAGATCCGGCGCCCTAAGTCCCTGACGCGACAGCTACCGCAGCTGCCAGGCACAACTAAGACGTACCCCACACCTTCACCGCCTGGTCGTCGCAAGGCTCGGCGCAATCGAGGGCCTGCTACTTCCCTTCCGGTTGTCCTTCGCGGCTGATGCCCTCCCTACCTCCCTGAAGGACTTGTCGTCTGGCGTTGGACGGATGCTATCAGAATGGTGTCGCAGGCACGATGAAGATGCATCATTACTCCGATGTGTCTCGAATGGATCGACTGAACATGGATTAAGGTGCTCGGAAAACGTTGATATCAGGAGTCGCGCCGCCCATACCGTTTTCAGAATTTGCCTTCTTGCGGAGCGGTAGGTATCGCACTAGCCTGCGCGAGGTTTCTGTTGACACGTAGCCCAACGACATGATTAGCTAGGTTCTAGGACCGATACAATGATACATGGCAGTATTATACAACATAATTACGAATGGGATTAGGATGTTCTAGTACGCTATTGCTTCTGACAAACCAATCTTTAGTCTTCGGGCTCGCTGATGTGTAAACTCGGTACAGAACGGTTCCACTTGTCCTTGACGGTGTGCACGAGGTCCTTGAAACGTGTCAGAGCTGCTACGGAACGCGGAACGCCTGCGGGTTGTAACTCACGAGGAGCACAGCCTTCATGCGCGATCTCACGCTCGAGGTCGTAGAAGAAATGGAAGTCGTGGACATCGACGGGAGCATGGGCGATACGACAAACTCGACTCCACTGTCCCGTTCAAACGCGTCGGACTTCGTAATGGCGACATGACGGATGGTTATGATAGAGACGACACAGCGGAACAGGTCCGACTCACCAGCGCAAAGCTTGACCGCCGTTGCTTCAAGCGTGGACGACGCTCTCCAGTCTGTTCCGCATCAGTCTGATATCAACCGCGTCAAGTCAGTAGAGAGGGCTTACCCTGATGTCATTACAGCGAGGTGGCAACCTGCGGGCAGTGTAGGAACGATGGCGGGATGCCCGACGGGGACGCAGAGTATTAGGTTGAGCATAGAGAGGAAATTGTCTATCGGAAGGGAAGTAGGAAGGTTGGAGTGGAGACGGGCATGGTGTGGCATAATGTTGCTCCGCACTCAGGTGGTTTGTTGGAGGATGCATGACGCGAATAGGCACAAAATAAAGATGACACGCCGGTCGCTGTAAGGTGGATGGTAGGCGGTAGGCGTTCGCCAGTGAGGCAAGAGAGCTTATGCTCCTGATGCCCTCACGAACGATCTCCTGGATGATGGGGAATGGGGGGAGAGTGGAGGTTGCGTGCCGGCATCATGTTGCTTTATATCACCGCTGCGGCAGCGGCAGAGCGCCTCGTTTAGAAAGGCGGACAAAACGAGGACGGGTGACTAGGCTTGACGTTTCAGGTGCGAATCCTACGCATCCCGACACACCCTTTTGGGTCACAGTCCATGCCATCCACACGTCTGCCAGCCAGGGCTGTGATGGTGATTACAGCCAGACTGCATGGACCTACACGTATGTCACCCTCAACTTGAGGTGGGCAGTACGTATCCGGCTTCCCTTTTCGGGGAAGGCGGAGCTTCGTTGGCGTTTCAGTCAGGCTCTGACCTGCTAAGTGCTCAGAGGCGCATACAAATTACAGCACCAATGTAAGTGATGGCCGTTGTGGTGCCGATATGTTCAGGCCTCGATACTAGACGACACATGGAAGTCTCGATATCGCTGATTCGCCTGGGGTACAGTGCCTCTCGATTCGGCTTGCGATGGAATACGGCAGTGGATACCCACAGTGAGTGTGGATACGCAGCGTGCTTCGAGGTCAAGCCCGAAGGAGAAATGGCTAGGTCTTCCAAGCCAAGGATGAAGACGACAGCTGTCTTGTTTGAGCTTGACAACGTAGCGTGCGGCTGAGAGCAAGGCGAGCCGGCGCTCCCCACCGGCGGCAACCCGATTGAACCCGAGCGCTCGATGGCACGCCCAAGTCCAAGCTCGAGTCGCTGGCAGGGTACTTAATCATGCTGCTCGCAACTATCACCCCATTCCCTCTGACTTTCCGGCAGGATGTGAGATTTACATGCGTTTTGCAGGCTAGCAACGACTTTTATGTCCATCAGGATCATCGTCATGGCAGAAGAAGACAGAACAAGGCAGCGGAGATAGTATGTCAATGTCTGACTAGTACTGGAGTTCGCCATATGCAGTCCGCTTCCGGCAGCAGCATATTCAACTAGTTCCTATATCCTCCTTTCCTCCGCAGCGTTTGTCTCTTACCCTCTCGTTTGTCACTTCTAGTGCGTATCCAAAACCTTTGATTGATGTCTATCACCTTCACACGATACTCTTTCTAGCTGTGCCCGACTCCGTCAAGGCGCGTCTCTGCTGTGGCCCCTTACCAGTTCATCGCTGTCCGCTAGTCGGTGTTGTTGTGCTGCCCACGCCCGGAAAACCAAAGCCTGGGGTAAGGGACCCGTTCCTGGCGCATACCTTCCACTCGTTGAATCGAGGCTTCGCAGACTGTAGCGGGTGGGAAGCCACTCATCCCAAGGACCAAGGGAAGGTACACAAATTCGCGCTCGAGCTCTCACAAATCCGATGTCATATCTCGACGGAGGCGATGGGACTCTACTGTTGACCGCAAATATCTCAACAGAGTCAAATGGGCGTAATCTTGGAGGCAGATCCCATAGGCACCATTCCCCTAATCGCGCATGCATGCAAGTCTCGGGAATCCCTCCACCCATGCCTTATCCGGACCGACCCTTCCCGCTGTTCTGCAGTCTCCAGCGGCGGATGTAACACTGTGGTCCGCCAGCTGGGCACCTCCCGGGCAACTTGGCACGGTCTCTATAAGGTTCTAGTCGGGACTTCATCTCGAATCCCCCCGCCACCATGGGCGATAGGCTCGGCTGCTTCTCCCGCATCCTATAGATGATTCATAGCAGGGATCAGCTGCGAGCGACGCAAAGACAGAATCAAGTATGTATATCTCTACCTGGATAGGAGGTGCTTCCATATCGTTTATAGCTTCCTCAGACCATTGTCTCAGGTACAACGGCAAGTCATCGCCCGTTCGGTTGAAGTGAGCGTACTTGTCGTCCGCCTGCCAACACCGCCCGGATCCCTCCACAGCCGCAAGCCATAGGTTCTTTGCCTTCACCCTGGCAAACTCGCTCTTGTTCCATGGATCCCCGCCTGCGTCCTCATCAGCCGGTACAAGGTACATTGGCACCCGAGCTGTGGGTTGCATGTCCCAGAGTTCATGAACGTATCTCTTGTAAAAGTCCAGACGATGAAAGTGCGTATGGGGGGCGGGCTGTACGATGATTTGCTGCAGATGGGGATAGTGCTCTTCCGCTTCGGCGGAATCTGCGTTTGGATCACCTGCATACAAAGCTGAATGATCAACAAGCGCGATTCCGTCTGGTCATCAAATACCCACGACCAAAAGTACTCAAGCCACTCGTCCAAATCACTGGAAGCACGTGAAGGTCAGGCACCTCTGAGATGCGCAAATGAGTCACGTTGGGAGTCAACGGTGCCCATTCGCGGGGAGATGGTCCGCGAAGCACGTGAAGCCTGCGGAGAGTGGGGAACGGCGTCGAGTCAAGCTGGGGGGAGGAAAACAGGACGCCGGATATCGTAAGCTCCCGTAGTCTTGGGAACTTGACGTCTAGCGAAATGGGATTGGCTGACTGATCGCCTTGCATATACGATTGTACCAAAGAAAGTGTCTCGACGTCCTGAGCGACTGCTCGCAGGAGCATATCGATGGTGACCCTGTAGACCTTCAGTATCATGGTCTGCGACTCCCCTTTAGGAGGCGAGACCGAAACAAAGAGATGTCGCACTCTGGGTGGAGCATCTCCACGTCTCGTCTCCTCGTGCTCCTCTTTCAGTCGTGTGAGGAAGGGGGGTACCGCGGTGATCACCCTAGGGCCGTTGAATGAGACAGAGTAGAAGTGAGCCGGGCGAGACGCAGCACGAATGTGGTGGGAAACGAGTGAGAGGGCGCATGCTGTGGGGCCCCCATCCGTGCAGGCAAGGAAACAGATAGGCGTTATGAGTTCGACAGGAAGGCGGTCCATGTTGAAGTGATCGAATGTCGGCTGATTTGATGGTTATGACTGATCACTCGAAGGTTCTTGGCACGCCCAATTATGGCATCCACCGGTATCGGTATCTCGGATGCCTGTATAACGATTGGTGTCTGACGAGGGAATCAGCACCGGCTCAGGTTGTGGATATTGGGTTGAAACTGTGTAAAGGTGACGAGAGTGGATATCGAGAAGTGCAAGCTGGCGATAGCAACATTGTAAGAGTCTATATGTACTACCCAGAAGTTGTAGATGCGCACAGACTGACGCACCGCGGCCGGTATGCACCGAGTGCTGTGTTGTCGCTCGGATACAGCCGAAATGAACCCGAATGTATTGAGGGGCTAGGGGCCTCTTACAATCCAAATGGAGTAGTTGAAAATGGTCGTGGCAGATGAGCGATGAACGCAACGCGGGCAAGCCTTCGGCGTGTGCATAAAGGTTGCGATGATGCACCGCCACCTGCTGATCGCAGCCATCGTTCAGATCCAGACAAGAAACCTTAGAGAAGGCTACAAATCTCGCAGGAAAATGCGTTTTGCTCGAGACCGAGACCCTAGAGGGTCTGTCATGTCACGACGAGCGGGCAGCCAAGATATGTAAATGGACACTGGCGAGACTCTCTAAGAGGGTACTCCAGTGAGCACACCGTAACCCCACTGCCGTGAGGCAGCAGTTCTGGCCATACTTGGAAAATAGCTGGATGGCATTGCCGCTATAAGCGACAAGTATGATACGGTCTCACGCCACACTAAGCCGGCGAGCGAGGGGAAAGGTCAAAGACAAGGGACTGATTGAAGGAGGACTGAGATTCAATCAGCTACCCAAGTCGCAAGTGTCAGGTTCGAAGCATCCTCCATTGTCCTGGCAGAACCTACGGATTTATATTGCTGGGTCAGCGGCCATGAGTCGACTCCTGTCCCGTGTCCTTTGCGCTTGCGACAAGGATGTAGTATCGCCATCTCGCATCAGGACAGAGCCTGGGGTGGAGTGCTAGCTGTCATCCACACGCCGGAGATCATGCTTAGCCGAAACAAAGTTATCATACATGAGTCGTATATACGGAAAGCGGAATACTGCACACCACGTCGACATCCCTGGGGCACGGTAGAACGTCAATCAGCACTTGTCCCATAACCCTCGTCGGATTGATATTCTGGTAGCCACCAAGAGCATGTTCGCTACCATGATAGCTGTGCCTAACGGATAACGTCAACAAAATGAAGTTTAGGATTTCCACGCTGCGACGCACCTGCAAAAATACCGGTGTACTTGAACGTTCCTCCAGCGGCATTGAGAGCCCCAGAAATGGGAGGCCCAGCCACTGCGCCTAGTGCAGTGATGGTCATAGAGATACCTACTCTGGACCCGACATCATGCATGTCTCCCATTCGGACAGCCGGAGATGTCATGATGCCAACGAATACCCCAGACGAAGCTCTGCGACCAGCGCATGATTAGCAACATCGTAAGCTTGTAGGTTTAGGACACCAAACCCGTAGACAACAGCGATAGCAATGTAACCTCCGGTGGTCGTCACGAATGGCCAGATATATGTCATGATGCCTGCAAGAACCAAAAATGGTATCATGATATTGAGCGGACCTGCCAACCCATGGGAATGCGTTAGAAAGATTGTTGTGATTTGGAACGCGTGGACTGAGTACCTGCACGATCCGACAGAATACCGCCTGTGATTCGACCAACGGCGGAACATGCATTCGCAATAGCCACGAGGTAGAATGCAAGGCTGTCAGGGACGCCAGCCCCTACCGCACTCACGTCTATGTAAGTCAACACCTCCACTAAGAGTAAGAAAACTGAAGCAATTTATACGAGGAACCGACATACTGTATAGAGCCCCAGGAATAAGGTAAAACTTGAAACGCAATACAGAGTGAACGACAGCGACTTGAGTACAGCGAGATTGACGAGGGGACCCGCGGAGACCCTTGGTGGAAGCCGCCGTTCAATAGTCTGTCTCTCCATCAGCTTGCAATCGCGACATGATTTTGAAAGTGCAGTCCAACGTACCGCAACGGTGAAGATGCACAACACCAGCTCCAAGAAGCCGAGGATGCGCATCGTCCATTGGAAACTGACGGTATCCGATATGAGCTATTTGTCAATACCGGGCTAGATGGACGCACCCAACCTCCGACATAAGGTTCTTCACCATGATAGGATAGACGGTTCCTCCGACACTGGAGCCTACGGCGGTCATGCTTAAAGCAAGTCCCAACCTACGCTTGAACCAGTGACTAGGTGTCCCTATGACGATTCCAAAGATGCACCCGCAAGCAAGCTAATGGGGCATGGGAGTGTGCTCAGTTCGGATGAAACAGGAAGATCACGATGTTTGGCATACCCCTGTCGCAATTCCTTGGCACAACAGAAATTGCCAGTACTCCTTACACTGTGCGGTGAGAAATGTCGCTGCCACAAGGAGAGCGCTAGCAATGATGAGAGGCATCTTCGTGTACCCCAAGTCGAATACGCGGCCCATAATCAGGCCAGGCAGGAACACTAGGGCATACTATGCGCAACGATTGGCGAGAGGAACTACGTGATGCATAGATGAAATTTCCACCTGTACGGAACCAATCCATGCGCTGGATGGGGTCAGCCTCTTCTACCCCATGAGAGGAAATTCGGACAAAGACTAACATTGTAGATGGCGAAGTACCCAAGAGGATATCTTCTGTATAGAATGCTTGGAATACCTAGCGATCCCCGTTGGTTAGGTACGAGGCATGGGGAGTAGGCATGCCAATGACAGCGAGACTCACACCCCAAGCGTTGACAAGACCAAACGTGGCGCACGTGCCCACCAGACCCTGTTTTGAACCGTTGAATTGGCGGGAAGAGAGAGGATTTGAGGAGCATAACTTACGCCTGCACAGACTAGCCACGCTTGTAGGCCTCCATCAGGATGGGCGTGTGGAATTGGCTCAGTCACTGCTGTGTCAATGGAATATCCCGGAGTCTCGCCCTGATTTTCCATATTCTTCTCTGCAACCTGGGACTTGTCTCCAGCTGTGCACGACTGAAGTGAACCTTCCAGAGCTGTGCTTGTTTGAGTGGAGGAGACCTCGCGCTTGCTTGACATCGCCTTGAGGGTCTTTATTGCTGTTCGTGGGTCGACTTTCAAAGTAGTAGTCATACAGGAACGTGTGATGAACTCACCTTTATTTTTATACGCAAACGGTTGGCGGCTTATGTGCTAAGTCCATAAGCTGAAGTCGCAGCCGGCAACTCGGGCGTCGTATGGCCCGGGTTGCTTACTGAGGCGCCTCAAGTGATCCCGCATAGCGAATCTGTGACGATTATGCTTATTACCGGCCCCGACCAGCACAGCGATTCTGTGACGATTCTGACCCGGGCTGCTTGAGGCGACTTTGACGCCAAGCAATCATCTGCGTGCATGAGTCTGCGGTAACAGACTGGGATGATAGTCAAGGAGACCGAGCGATGGGGCTGCGGCCAATCTCGAGCTCCGACGGCCTGATGAACCTACAACATCTTCTTTCCCTAGGTGAGTTGGTATTGCTTCCGGACATGATTCGGACTCCGCGACCATCGGCTTTTTGAACCCCTGCTGGTCGTTCGGTCACGGGCGTAGCGCATGATCATGTACGTGGCCTCAAGCATTGACCGTTGGGAAGAAATTCGGAGTGGCTTACGCAGCCCTGTCAAATTGCAGGAATAACAAAAAATAGATCACCCATCTCTACTTGGGTATGGTATCAGGTGGGCGCAGATTCTGTGGAAGTCATCGAGATACCCGCACCTGCACCTTCTGCGGCCTCGGTATTCTGGGACTGCTGCGAGCCGACGAGTTTCTAGACCATGGCACAAACGTAACTCTTCATGTGGTGCCATCGAATGGTCGTGCACGTCCGTCTAAAGCCAGAGATTGCTCCAACTTAGCTCGCTGCTTAGCTCGCTACTAGCGGTCCTCGCAAAGCTGAGAATCAAAAGCGTCTGGTATATTCGAAGCTGAAACTGACCGTCCTGGTACGAGTATGTGTTGTTACACTTCGCGTGATGACTCACTCTACGTCGTCCGACTCATCCTCGCCATCATCACCTGGCCCCTCGCTCGCCACCGCCGTGGACTCCGTAGGACTAGAAGAGAGTGCGCTCGCCACTCGACTACTGCTCGCACTCGCCAGCGAGTTTCTAGACGGGATCTGTTGCAGACCCTGACGGCCCATGCTGGGTCCGAACGACGTGCTCCGCATGCCCAGCCCAAGCATAAACATGCCTGAAGTTGTGCGCTGCCGAGGGCTGGCACGAGAACCCCCTGTGGGGTTCGTGCTCATCTCTGGACTGTACGTGGGGCTCCGCGCCGGGACTACGATCCGCAGGCCAAGGCCGGCAAGCGGGTCTGTTGGAGAGTCGACATTAGACCGCTCACGAGGATGTGAGAACGAGGACGAATGACGGAGACGCGGTGAAGTCATGACGGACCCGAAGGTGGGTGCTGGACTTGTCGAGCGTGGGGGGCTTAGGAAGCTCGGTGTCCACGCTGACCAGTTCGGAGAGGTACCGAGTTTCGCTGAGGATGTCGAGGCCAAGGGCGAGAGTGCAAGGTCCGATGCCGACGGAAGTTCATACAGCGTGCGTTTGATGGATGCGATGTCGTGTTCGAGATCGTCGAGTTTCTGGACGAACTGTTGCATGGCCTTAAAGATCGCACGGTCGGTCCCGTCCACGAATGCGCGGACCTCCTTGACAACTTCGCTCTCATCCATTTTATCCGCGCCCGCATCACCGGGGCTCGACATTGCGCCTGGAATTGAAAGCAGAGCCTCGTAGCCACTTGCTATGCGCTCTTCGTCTGCGATGCGGATCTCGAGCTCAACGCGGGCATCCTCGTTGAAGTCGCTGAGCCTTTCAACCGCCTTCCTGAGGGCGGAGGACATTTCAGAAGGCGACGGTACAGGCTGCGGAGGTAGAGAGGATAAGGCCTTCTTGAGTTCCTTGAGCGCTATGGAGCAATCGCGGAAACCTCGCTGGACATCATCGTAGCGGTGCTTCACCTTTGTTAGGCCGGCGAGCAAAGAAGCCTCCTCGCTCTTAGTGGATGGCAAGGCTGTACTGGGATAACTTGGCGAGAGAGACGAAAGAGCAAGTCCGGTGGCCTCCAATGGCAGCGGTGGTGGTGCATGGGACTTCGACACGTGCGTAGTAGTTTGAGTTTCCGGGGTGAAGGGAACTGGTCCCGAATCTTGCACAGAGCCTGGGGATGGCACAGCTGGTGGAGGCGTAGGCAGGTCAGTTGGCCGTGAATCGGATATCGGGGACCCGGCAACAGAAGGGAAGGTAACTGTAGAAGCATCTTCGGTGACCGGATGGAGTGTGAGCGCTTCCCTAGGCGGCCCCTCGCCTCTCTCGGGCATACTAGTCGACTCAGACCGCGGCTCCTCCGGCTTCGGTTTCACCTCTGCCTTTCCGGCGAGACCCATGCTCCGTGACACGCTAGACGAGTCGGTCGGCACGGATAATGATGCTTCGTCGGGTGTTGTGGATATAGAACCACTCTGGGTAGAGCCGGCCGCAGAGACTGCAGATGAGACGTCTCCTGCCGAGGGGACCGTCACGACCTCCACAATAGGCACGCTCTCGGGAAGGGTGATACCATCCGCAGCGACGTCGTGTGGGACAGTCATCTGAGTGGTAGAAGCTGACACCCCAACATCCAGTAAACGTCTCTCCTCGGCGATGTGATGAGGAACGGGATGTACTACCGCGGATGTTTGTTCCAAATTGTTGAGCTCTGCGGGGTGATCCGCGATCTGTATTCGAGCAAGTTTGCGTTCACTGTTCAGTCTGCGGACTGTCTCCTCTTGCAATTCGTGCGTCAGCGAAGCCACAGTATCCTGGGCCAGCGCCAGACGCGCTATGGAGCCTACAGAACCGCCGCCTGCCTCAACCGATGGTTGCCCGTTGAGAGTATCTAACAGCGCCTCCGCGTCCGCCGTGGCTTTCGCGAATGCTTCTCTGAGAATTACAGGCTTCAAAGATAGCGATCCGTCTTGGGAACCAGAAGAGCGCTCGAGAGACTCCTTGGCCTTCCGCACCCATCGCCTGAGATGCTCTGCGAGATTCTCTTCACGTCCTAGAAATGCGAGTCGGAGCGATACTTCGCGGCGACGCCCATACGCCTCACGCGCGATGTCCTCCGTAAGTTCGTCTAGCGCGCTGCGGACGCGCTCCGAATCCTCGCGCTCATGGGCGAGGGCACGCTGTAATTGCACGATCTCGGCATTGAGTGTGGCAAGCGTGGCCGCGTGCCGCATCTTGAGTGCGGTCATGGCTTTCTGGAGCGTGTCTGTTGCAGACTGGGAGAACTTCCTAGGGGTTAGGCGTGAGTCTATACATACGCGTGAAGGAGAGGAGAATACATGCATATAGCGGGATACCATCTTCGTAGCGGTGTTATCGTCCGCGCGATACTTGTCTAGCTCGTGAAGAGCACTGGCAAGTTCGCCACGGTCGTGCTCTGCGCCTTGGCGGGCGACCTCAAGCTCTTTGTAGAGAAGCCCGTTGTCGCCGTGGAGCTGAGCGATCTCCGCCTGCAGTAGCTCGTTGCGGCCGTTGAATTCTTCGAGCAACTTCTGGAGACCAAGCTTTCCTTCCGCGAGACTGTCCACTAGGGTAGCCGTGGAGCCGTTGGCTGAGCGCTGAATGTCGACGGACGAAACGGAGGATGAAACAGTATGGCCTTTTGCTCTACCTTCCAGCTTGCGGACAAGGTTGGCGTATTCCTGGACGACGAGATCCGCCATACGGCGCTCTTCCTCCACAGCCCGCACCTTCTGTTCCAGCACCCGTTCTCTAGCCAGCCCCTCCTCCTCCCGAGCACGCGCCTCCGCAGTCAAGGCGCGCGCAGCCTCCATCTCATGTTGGGCAGCTGCGAGCTCGCTCCGGGTGTCCACGAGTTCCCGAGTACGAGCTAGTAGAGTCTCCTCAACTGCAGTGAGCTTGTCCGAGAGACGACGAAGAGCGAGGGTGAGTTCAGGAACTTGGTTCGCGGCTGGGGTCGGGGTGGTATCCGGGTTGGCCCTGAGGACCGCAACCTCCTCCTTCAGACGCGCATTCTCGCGTTCCAAAGCGCGCGCATGGTCAAGGGCTTGCAAGGTCTCTAGCGAGTGCCTTTGTAACTTGAGAGAGGCCGAATGGGCTTCGTGCTACCAACGAAGCCTGTACGTCAGTACACGATGAGCGATGTACGGCAACCAGAATGAGACCGAGGCTCGGAAGTGGAAGTACCTGGTATCTGGATACGGCTGCGCGGAGACTCGATAGTTCCAAGGCAAGCGGATGGTCGTCGTTTATTACGGCGGACAGGACGTCGGCCATGTGCACGAGCACGTAAAGATGTAGACACGAGCAGCTCAGGACAGTATGCGGATCGACGTTCTGGCGGAGATGAATGATGCATGGCTCGGAGTCTGAGTACAACCCCTGTGCTGATGGGTCGGAGCTTTGAGGTTCCGGTGTGGCACGAGAGAGCGCCAGTCCACTTCTTGTCCTGATCGTCTCTGCCCTTGTCCTCACCGTCGTCTGCCCTGCGACCGACACAGGTACCCGCGAACATAAATCTACTTACTGCGTCCTGCTGTATACTACATCTCACCGACTGACGTTGCCACCTTTGCTTCAAGTGTCCCAGCATCGAGCGCACACACCGCCAGACCCCATCGGCCGACTCTCCTCGTCCACCTTATACCATTACGCAGACACGTTTCTGACTGTCTAGGCTCTCTCATCATCTCATAGAGTTGGAGCATATGTTGCTAGTACAATAGCATTCAAACTGGATTGTACATCGATCAAAAAACCAGCGGTACGTCTCCTCCCCTCGTACCCTTGGAGGCATTCAACCCATTCGTATGCAATCTCCTCCACCTTGGCGTGTTAATAGAGATGGCCAACCCCCACACACCTTACCACCCTCAGCCGGGGCCCTCATACTACCATCACCCCCCGCCGCCTCCCCCACCTCCACATTATGCGTATTCGCCGGCGCCTGCCCCCGCCCCATATTACGCGTATCCTATGCCACCCATGAACGGTCACGCCGCCATGCACCAACCTGCTTCCCCTAGGATAAATGGTGCTGGTCGTGGTCGCTTCACTCCTCATCGAGGCGGTGCTCCTGCTTACCACTATCACCACCTGCCTCCTCAGCACCACTTACCTCCTACCGTACCTGTTCCGACCCCTCCGCCCGTTTCTCCTGCAAGTCCGTTCCATCACCCTCAAAAGTTCCCGCCGCACCCGCATCCCCACCAGGTTCCATACGGATCTCCATATCAACATCCACAGCCTAATGCCCCCTATCCCCCTGCATGGCCGGGACAGACGTTATCTCCACTACCGAAGCAGCTGTCGATGCTACCCCCCATGGCTTCTCAAGAGCACGTTCCGCAGCTACAGCAGCATCAACTTCCTCCCATGCCTCAGCATCAGCCCCAGCCGTCCCCTCAGCCCGCACAATTACAATCTCAAGTTTCTGTTGAGGCGACACCGCAGGCATCTTCTCAGGCACCTCACGTCGTCACCCAGCGCGGGGATGCGTCACAGCCTGACCTGACTCAGTCAGAGGAGTCCCAGACTATCTTATCCCAGGTCGAGGAGCCGAAGCAGGAACAGGAACAGCGGGAGCCTGCGCTTGTTGCTGACGCAGTGCCCCAATTTGTCGAACAGACCATCGAGGAGGATTCAGTCACGGAGGTTGAGCCCAGAGCGCCTACCCCGAGGAGCCCTTCGCCTACGTCCGCGCCCGCCATCACTGACTCTTCCATCTACGTAATTTGGTCGCGTCGCCCCAGAGACCCAATTCACGCGCCGGGTGTCATCATATCACATCGTGCTTTCCCTCCTGAGAGTATTGTGCAGAAGGCCCTGGAGCTTCGTACTCCCCCATCATCCCCCAAGTCCCCGCACGCTGCCCTCGTACAACCACCAATTCCGCTTGTTCATGAGGCTTCTCCCGAGTCATCGGCAGCACTCTCGTCATCGACTACCGAGACGACGCCGGCTGGCTCGATCGCAGCGGATACACCTGTTCCAGGCTCGCCTTACTCCTGCGCTACCTCGGTGTCTGCCGCGATTGATCCATGCGCTCAGACGCCAGTCTCTCTGCTTACTGAGACTAAGATCGAGTTTGCTGCCGATGTTGCCGATGTTGCACCTAAGGCAAGTGAGCCTTCGACGCCTCAACCTGCCTGTGAGGAAAACGCAGCGGCTTCGCCCCCTACCACATCTGCTCCAGCTCCCAAACCCACCGTGAAGAAGGCATGGAACGCACTGTTTGCGTCCGACTCTGCCGCGTCGTCATCTAAACCGCGTCTGCCGGTGTCGAACGTTGTCGGCTTTTCTATCCCGGCTACCACTGGATCGCCCGCTCTCGGTGCTCCTACCGCTACCGCTAATCGCAGCGAGCTTCTACACTTACTCAACGAGGGCCCCTCTGTCTCATCTGTCAATGCAGCGGCCGCGATGAAGATCCGCCCCCGTGGCCTTGTCAACACTGGTAATATGTGCTTTGCGAACGCTGTGCTGCAGATCCTCGTCTACTGTCCGCCCTTCCATCGCTTCTTTTCGGATCTCAAGAAGCACCTCGCCGGGCCCGTTGTGGGCTCGCAGCGTGAGGGGTCGAAGGCGACACCGCTCGTGGATGCCACGATACAATTCCTCAAGGAGTTTGTCCCTGACCCTCCTGCGAATGCCAATGTCAATGCGAACATGAAGTCGAAGGGCAAGGAACGGGAAGACGACAACTTCGACGAGTTGGACAGCTTCATCCCCTCGTACGTCTACGATGCGATGAAGGAAAAAAAGCGGTTCGCCAACATGATTGTGCGTTGACTGCATCGTTCTTGTTCTTTCATGCGTGTTGTTGAATGTTCTCGTGTAGGGCGGACATCAGGAGGACGCGGAGGAGTTCCTTGGGTTCTATCTGGACACTCTGGAGGAGGAGCTTCTGTCAATATCGCAGTCCCTGCAGCCTCAGGACGCGCCCACAGCGCCTGAGGAGGAGGCCCACGACGATGGCTGGCTGGAGGTAGGCAAGAAGAACAAGGCAGTGGCGACAAGAACTGTACGTTTGTTGTCTCAATCTGTCTGGTCCGTGCCTCATTGATGGACCCATATTGCAGGCGAAATCTACGGAGTCTCCGATAACACGGATATTCGGGGGCAAGTTCCGTTCAGCATTGCGCGCGCCTCACCAACGGGAGTCGGTCACTATAGAGGACTGGCGGTCCTTACAGCTCGACATACAGCCTGAAAACGTCAAGACTCTCCGTGATGCCCTCCTACACATATCGCAACCTCAACAGGTTCAAATCTCCATTCCTACGCGGCCGGGTGCCCTGCTCGACGCTCAGCAACAGGTGCTCATTGAGGCTCTTCCGCCTGTGCTCATTCTGCACATGAAGCGGTTCTTGTACGATACCAAGGTCGGCGATGTGGTCAAGGTGGGCAAGCAAGTATCGTTCGCCTCAGAGCTGGACGTCCCGCCAGGTACGTCCCTCGCACAATCTAAATCAGCATGCGAGTCACTGACAATGCCGTATCTTCAGAGATCATCTCGCAAGTAAAAAGGACAACGCAGCCTGTGAAATACCAGTTGTTTGGAGGTGAGTACACACCAGTTCTGCTCTAATATTGACCTAACTCATCAATTGCCGTTTGATCAGTCCTATATCATCATGGCATGACAGCATCCGGTGGCCACTACACCCTCGACGTCCTCCATCCGAATCGCGAGCTCTCCGAGCGCCCGCGGGCAGCGTGGATCCGGATCGACGATGAGCTCGTCTCGGACGTGCGCCCCGACGACGTCTTCGGAGGACAGGAGCGCGAGGACAGGCAACCGTACTTGCTGTTCTACAGGAGGATGAGTGCTTGGGGGCCGGCACGGACAAACTAGGGTAGTGCTCACTCGGCTTTAGTGTGTTGGGTATTGTTACAGCCGCTACTACGTTACTGTGCCAGTACTTAGTATACTTCTGTGTCTGATTCATCTTGGATTTACGGAAGCACTGGTATGCGCATGGCCTTCGCGCATGGGTGGTGTTTGAGGCATGTCTCTACACCTCTCTGTTCAGTCCTCTGCCTTTGTGACGTCATGTGGCGTGGCCATGTAAATGATCTGATCCTCACGACAGATATCATAGATAGGCAGACAGACGCATCGCACTTGTAGGGACGTGAGGGTGGAGAAATACATATATAACGAGAGTCCGATGCGAGACGTGAATACGAGATATTGACAGCGCGAAGGGAAGTTATACTACTGGACATGCTGATACGGTAATTACTCATTATATATATTCCAATTCTAGAAGACAACATAACCATCAGCAGGCTGTACGGCGAACGACGAACGAAAGGGGGACGTACTGAGCGCCACTTGAGACCCCAGTGGTCGTTTATGGGGCCGTCGATACCGAATGCCACGCCCCTGAACCACCAGAAGGTGCCAACGATGACGAACACGCAGACCCCGAAGACGATCTGTTTTGTGCGCTGCGAGAAACGGCGGGACGAGAAGACGAAGTGGTCGAGGAGATGCGCGAGCATCAGGACGGAGAAGTACAGTGTTGGAAGCTATACGACGGCAGGTCAGCTTTGTCCGCCAGGTGCTCGTTTGAATAGAAAGACGTACGTAGTGGTGGATATAGGTGACACGACCCATGATCATGAATGGCACTGCAAGGCAATTAGCATCAGCGCTGCATTCTTCTGGGACAGGAAGTGCAGCTTACAGTAGTGGAGGACCCAGCCAACCAACGCGACCTTGCCGACGTACAAGAAGTGCTCCCACTCCCGGGGCTCCATGTCGACGTACTTTCTCTGCTGGCGGATGAGATACACCCCCGCGGTGAGGACCCCCAGGACCAAGCTGATCGTGCCGCCCCACCAGATGACTGGGGTCCCGATCAAGTAGTACTTCGTCTGGTGGTCGCCCCATCCGCACATCCGCAGACCCACGCGCAACAGCGGCCAGTCCGTCGGTTTGGACGCGAGGATGTCCTCCTTGTCCGGGTCGGGCACGAGCGCGTTGTTCGAAGTGGCCATCGCCACGTTCAAGTGCCAGAAGTCCCTCAAGAACGGGCTCTTGTACAGCTTCTGGTCGCCCGGCGGCAAGCGATCGTTCCAGTGGCTCTCGACGTTCCAGTACGTGTGCACGTCCCCGGGGTTGTTCTCCTTGTCGCAGCTGACCTCGATCTGCTTGAAGCCCCACTGGGGGAGGACGGCGTTCGCGGCGCGGAGGTAGCACCCGGATGCCTGGTGGCGGAGGCGGAGGCGCGTCGTGAGCGAGTGTATCTTCTCGTACTTGTCCTTGCTCCCGCGGTGGATGTCGTCGACGACCTCGACGACCCAGTAGTCTTGGAAGTCGCCAATCGTCGAATTACCGTAGCAGGAGACCTCGTTGTTAAGCTTCGTCACTGGGGCCGGGATGGGGTGCGAGTGCAGATTACGGGTGGTCGAGGCGTGCTGGAGACGGACGGCGTCGCCGTCCTTGAGGAAGCGGAGGGGGGTCTCCGGGTCATACGGTGCTTCATCCCAGCGGGGGAGGATGACCCAGTCGTTGTTTTCGTCCTTGTAGTGATAGCAAGTGACCTGTTGCTGCTCAGAGCCCACGGGGTACGTCTGGACGTGCGAGTGCAGAAGACCTCCACCCCAACCCATATTCTTGAGCGTCACCCTGGAACCGTACGCGATGTCTAGGAAAGAAGTCAGTGACCTATACGTCCATGCATGAACTGTTGTGGTATACCGAGAGGGTTCTGATTGAAAGTGTTTCCAACCAAGTTCGCCTGGAACAAAGAGCTCATCTGAGCATCGCCAGGGCCAGAATGGTTAAGAACCAGGAAGTGAATCTTGAAGGACGCCATGTAGACCAAAAGCGGAAGGACGATCAAGCATCCAATACGCGCAGCCCAATGCCGGATTTGGTCGCGCTGGAAGACATGAGTATGACGTTGACAGTTGCGCTCATGAAGCGGTGATACGTACAACAGACATCTTCAAATCACCAAATTTCTCCCATAGATCCTCGATGGTGTATGCGCCAACTAGGGAGGTCACGAAGAAACCGACCCATTTCACACTGGATTCAATAATCTGTCAAGATGTGGGACCGCTGCGAGCATGTATCCGAGCAACGCACCTGCAAACGCATCCAATCGAGTAGCCCGTCAAGGCGAGCCATAGCCACCAGTCGAAGGAGAAGGATCGATATTGCTGGTTGTGGAATTTGGCGAGACAGAAGACCGTAGTGAACGTGAAGAACAATAACATAGAATCCAAAAGAATGAACCGGGATATGCATAACCATGCAACATCTGCGGGACAAGTATCAGTGCCCGAGAAGCGCATACAATAAGCGCGAATGTAAAGGTGGAGTGTACGAGAGCGAAGGAAACAAACGAGGTGCTCACCGCAGAGGACCATCAAGGCAACCAAGTGACACGCCATCCAAGACATCCCAAGCTCCACCGCCGTGTACCAGCCAAGGGGGACCATCGCAACACCGAACGTGGCCAGCATTACACGCATCGCGACGTACGGCACCGAGTCCGGATACGTCGAGCCGCTCTCGAAGCCAAAAGTGCCGTCATAGCCCGAGAGAAGGCCCGCAAGGCCAACGAGCATCTTGCCGAGTGGAGGGTGGACGTCGAAGTAGAACTCGCGCTTGAGGTAGTGCGAGCCGAACTTGCCAAAGTGCGCCTCATCCCAGACGACGAGATTGGCCTTGCCGATTTTGTGGAAGCGCGTCCAGCACGAGAGGAGGGTGTAGACGATGGGCGGGATGTGCTCGAGGTTCTGCAAGAGGAACTCGCGCTATTTCCACCGAAGACATCCGCACATCCCACGCCAAACGATCAGTATTCACAGGAGTCGGGCGCATACATGCGGGTTAGAGACATACCACGGTGGTAGGTGGAGGAGGGGGTGGGCGGCGGGGGCGACCGCTGCTAATAGGCCCCTTGGCCGACTTCATTTTGGAGTAGACGTCCTTGCCCTCATCGTCGTTCGCGTAGTAGTCCAGGCCCTCCTTCTCCGGGACCTGGGTGAACACGCCGCCGCCGTTCCCTCCGGGGCCGCGGGCGACCCGTCGTCGTGCGTTTTCCTGGCTCATGTAGTGGAGCGGGAGTTCCTCCTCTCTCTGGGGGGGGTGCGCTGGCGCGTGCTGTGTCCAGTAGGTGGTGTGGGATGCGGGGTGGGGGATTTCTTCGAAGTCAGAGTCTGAAGGGGCACCGTCGTCGAACGGTGGGCCAAGATCGAGAGCAACCTGTCCGGACGGCCTCATCAGCCAAGCTGGCGAAGTTAGAAGCCGTTCTTTGGCGCGACGGCAAGCGAACGGTGAGCGGGGAGATGCAATCGGCGTCTACGGACAGCAGCACTGTGCGCTATACAGCTTCCGCAGCATCCTGACGTGGCGGGGCGCAGCGTCTGATTCTACTTACCTCTCTGCCCCACGAAATTCATATTCCACTCCTTGCGCCTTGCAGACTGGGCATTCAGGCGGCGAGTGCAACACCCCTGCAGACATGAACCACTCCAGGGACAGGCATCAGGCATCTCACTGTTCGATCAATCGTGTTCTCGCCAGATGCCGATCCCAGATGTCGTGAAATACATCCAGATGCCGACGGGCCCGCGGTTCATTTCGGCACAGCGTATGATAGCACTAGCACTACTTTTCGGTCACTACAGAAATACAATCGATGCAAAGACGAAAGAAACAGGACAAGAGAACCGAAACTACGAAGCCCTGATGCGTCAACAAACCTACGAGTGACGCTGGTAAACGCCAGTCACCATCGCGTGGTCACGCTCGTACGGCTCCAAGGTGACCTGCTCGAGAGGCTTGATCTTTGACTGCCTGAGCGTCTCAACCTCCCGCGCAAACACGGCTTCCGCTGGGACGGTTGAGTCGATACAACTGGCTTTTATGGAGATGACGACGAAGCCTCCGTTCTTCAGGAAGTATTCGGCGTTGAGGCTGATGATGCGTGCTTGGTCGGGCTGGGCAACGTCGGCGAAGATAACGTCCACTGTTGAGAGGAGCATGCGATACCTCTGAGGGGTACGCGCGTCCTCAACGATAGCTGCAAGCGTTTGGTCAGATCTAAGGGGCAGAATAGATACTCAGATGTGACATACGAATGACATTCGTCCGCTTCTTTGCCATGCTGATCAGGTCACGTCCTGACCGCAGAGAGAACTCTACCGCATACACAGTACCCTCCTACAAAGGAGTGCTATGAGCACGTATCACCGAGATCCGCGAGCGCAACGACCTACCGGACCGACGATGTCCGCAACATGGGACACACTAGTACCACTCGCAGCACCGAGGTAAAGCACCTTCTTTCCAGGTGCGATACCAATGTTATCGACACCGTTCAGGACACCCGCCGCGAGCTTGCTCCGGAACGGATTCCACACACGGTACTCGACCTTTGTCCCCTCTACGCCGCCGTCGATGGATATCCGCTTCTCTCCGTAGACAGCCTCGCCAGGGACCAGGTTCTTGGTGACGAGCAAGCTCTCCTTGCCCTCCGCGATGAAAATGCCGGGGTGCCTGTGCGGCTTCAGGATCACGTTCGCGCCGCCTCTCGCGCCTCCCCTTCCCCCGCCTCTGCCACCGCGTGGACCTCCACGGCCTGCACCACGTCCGCCGGGAGCACCACGCTTCGCGACACCACCACGTCCTCCACCTGCGAGCTGATGTTAGCACGGACCTTCATGCGAGCCTGTACTGAAAGCAGGACGACCGAACGGCCGCAAAAAAGCTCCGTTTTGATACGCATTTGCATGGCAATGGTAGCAATGTGTCTGCAAAGCAAACCATGCGTCCTATATTGCACCCCTCTTGCGCAGGCGCAGAGCCCCAACAGCGGCTAGAACCAGAAGGAAAGCAGACGTACCGCGTCCGCCACCAAAGCCACCACGTCCAGGAGGACCACCACGGCCTCTCGGCGCGCCCCTGCCTCCTCCTCCACCACGTCCACCTCCTCGTCCTCCGCCAAAGCCGCCGCGTCCGCCTGAAGCACCTACAAGTATGCGAGATACAAAGCGTCATCTTAGTCAGCATCCTCCTTATCATCATGCACAAAAACCACACAAACATACCAAATGCCATCTTGAAGTCCTAAAGTTGAGAGGAACCGACGGGGTGGATGGACTAGGAGCGGGCTGCGGTCTGCGAACGAGAATCTCCGTGGAAATTTTGGCAAGCGCTCCTCTCATAAACTGGGAATTCGCCATGTGGTTGGCAACTCTGATGGAGCGGGACCCGGCGGCCCGGTTCGGGAGGGAGAGCGCCCACTTTAAGTCCCTACAACTTGAAGTAGCAACTTCCAGTTTCTATGCCTGTGTAACCACCATTTTGGTGGGTCGTCGAGGCAAGTACTCCCACACGTACCTTGTGGCGACGTGAAACATTTTTACAGTCCTGGTGTCAGAAGCAGCCGTCGGATACTCGATGGTTGAGTCAGCCACGTTGGGCGGCATGTCTACCGCGCCGGCCCAATGTCTTGATCACGCGGGAAGACAATATAGAGGGCGGACATACGCCATAGCCAATTGCAATATATAGCACTAGAACAAATTGTACTGATCCCGAGGCTTCTGTTCTCACCAACCTCCTCTACTCGAGGTCTTCTTCCTGTCTCCTGACATAGCCTGCCTTGGAATCTTTGTTTGTTTTGCTGGCGACTCTTACGCATCTCGATGGCTAGACACACAGAGCATCCAGCAGTCGACCATGACTCCTCTGCTTCTTCCACTAGGACCATCCCCAATGACGAAATAGTACCCCGGACGCTCGACGACGGAGAGAAGCAGGCCGCTCAAGATCCCGAGATGTCGGACGTCGCGAAGGACCTTGCAACCGCGGCCGAGGCTGTCGAAGGCGCTCCGTTAGACGAGTTCGAAGAGCATCCTGACGGAGGTTCAAGAGCCTGGTTGGTAGTGATTGGGGTGAGTTACCATATGTCGTGTCTTCGGCTTGGCTCCGTGTAGCTCCGTTACTGACATTGTAGTAGTGTGCCGCGGGAGCGTGTGCCACTTTCGGGCTTGTGAACGCATGGGGTGTGAGTGGTGTTCCTTCAAACCTAGATTCGCAAACCCAATCATCTTGCGACAGGTCTTCCAAGCCTTCTACACCACGAGCATCCTCAAAGGCACTTCCCCATCGACTATGTGAGCAGCCGTCTCCCTGACACCATTAGTAGCACTCGAAGAGAAATAATGCGGACATCAGTGCATGGATCGGCTCTATACAGGCGAGTACTCTGCTCATTACTGTGCTCGAAGCCGCATACTCATACGAGTTAATCCAGTATGCTCTCGTTTTTATCCCCGGTTTGGTCGTTGGTCGCATTTTCGACATGGGCCACGTCAAACTTCCCTTGGGTTTAGCAAGCGCGCTGCTGGTTGCCGCGACCTTTCTTACTGCACAGTGTACACGATACTGGCAATTTCTGCTTTGCCAGGGAATAGCTCTTGGGGTGTGTCCCCTTTCAAAGCTCTTCTAAACCTTGTTGTCATCTCACCGTATCCGACTGGACGATGTACTGTTTGTGCGCGTTTCTAGATTGCGTGTGGAGTGATTTTCGGCGTTATCATGGGTTGTCCCGCACACTGGTTCAAACGCAAGCTTGGGCTAGCATTGGGCATTATGGCTCTAGGCTCCAGTATCGGAGGTACCCTCTACCCCATCATCGTCAAGAACCTCATGCAAAAAGTTGGGTAAGACGACCTCACACACTCTCGGCCAGATGAATCGGCTAATCATCGTTTACTTTTAGCTTTCAATGGACAATGCGCGTCCTTGGGTTCATTGAGATCGGCCTCCTTGCCGTTCAGTTCCTTGTACGTCTTTCCATTCCTTCGGCTCGCTCTATTTATTAAGAACTGATATCATGGGGCAGACTGTAGAGCGCAGGCTTCCTCCGAAGAAACGCTCAGGTCCTTTCTTCGACTTCACGGTCTTCAAGTCCGTCCCTTTCTCGCTGTACAGCTTCTCGAGTTTTCTCGCCTTCCTGGGCATCTATACTGTGAGCAGCTACCGTCTTAGACGAAGCAGATGTTGTTATTCTGAATACACTCCACAGGTTCTCACCTATATCGATGTGAGCGCGGTTTCGGAAGGTGTCCCCGAGAACTTTGCCTTCTACCTCCTGGCCATCGCAAATGCCTGCTCGGCAGTAGGTCGAATAGTTGGCGGGACTCTTTCTGACTATACAGGTGCGTGCTCGGGAGTCCGCCAGATGTACACGGGACGTGCTGAGTTTCTCCTCCGGGATCTAGGACCTCTCAACATCATGACCCCTGCGACGTTCCTCGCCGGCATCATGACCTACATCTGGCCGTTCGCTACCAGTGTTGGCGGGAACATCGGGGTGGCCATCGTGTATGGGTATGTACTCGCCGGTGACTCATCCCTTTCATTGTACTTATGACGATCCCGACAGTGCATCATCGGGAGTCTATGTCTCTCTGCTTGCAGCCCCTACAGTGCATATGGGCCGGACGGAGGACGTCGGTGTGCGCGTCGGCATGAGCATGACCCTCGTCGCCCTTGGCGCTGTTGCCGGTCCTCCGATCTCTGGTGCCATCAACGCCGCGACTGGTGGCTTCAAGTTCACCGGTGTCTACGCGGGTACGTACCGCTTCCTCTGCCGTGGGTCAGAGACCACTTCAGGATGCTCATAACTGCATCACCTATAGGAACTGCTGTGATGGCAGCCGTAGTGTTCCTGATCTTCACTCGGATATCCATCCTCGGCGGGCTTTGGGGTAGATGTTGAACACAACGGGCCGACGAATACCCGCCCTGCAACCTGTTCTCTTCTTCGTCCAAGGGATGCTCGACAGTCATTAGAAACGACTCTCTCGGCGACATAGATGGAGCTTACGATCACAATGTTACGACGGAGACGATGTATTCTGATCTATAATGATACGTCTTCGATTGTACGTCGAACATGCATTCTTCAAGACCCGACCCATGTATTGAGCACCAAGCAGGCCGACGGCGAGCGATGCTGGCGTGCCACGTCCTGTACGAAGATGCCAACGCCGCTCCTCTCTGACCCCTTCCACTGCGGTATGTTGCGAAGTATATCATTCTCAAGGTACTGAAGTGCACACCTGACACGAAGGCAACTACCTGAAACCAAACAGTAAAAATTGTATCGGATAAGAGACAAGGTGCATGTTGTTTTCCCCCCTTCCTCTGCGCCAGAGGTGGATGGGAGCGAAGAGTACTTATTATCCCAAGAGTCACCAGGATGTATGCGCCAGGACCGAACTCTTATACGACGAGCGTCTGGGTTACCTATTAAGTCACAGTTTGTGGTATGACGAGAAGCTTTGCATCCGCTCCTCCGATCTTCCTGGTTAGGACCATGGTCGCTATTCCCGCTGACAAGGACACCCTTGATATGTCCCCTTCAGATAGGATACTTCGGCCACGGAACAAGGGCACCACTCGGAACCCCGTCTCTTTCGGACCCGACTCCTTCGGAACGAAGGCGGGCGTGTCTCTCAAGCGTTCGCTGCGCAGTGCGTCACGACCCACTTCCATGCCGACTCGCGCTGATTCATCAGCGACTGACTCAGAATACTGTTGTAAAAATGGCCCGTTGACTAGGAGATATAAAGCTGCTAGCAGCTCGACCCGATCTTCTTCATATCACAACGACTTCTGCTCGTCTGCCTACTAAACGCTCCAATCTATACCATCGCAGTCATCATGTCAGTAGCTCAACACAAGGCCCTAATCCTCGAGTCCAAGCTCGGCCAGTTTGCTGTCAAGACAGTGCAGACTCCGAAGCCTGGTCCAGAAGAGGTGCTCGTGAAGATTGAGGCGACCGCGCTCAATCCTCTGGACTGGAAGGTGCAGGCCTTGGGTATCCTCATCGAGAGGTACCCTACGATTCTCGGCTTTGACGCTGCAGGAAGCATATCCCAGATCGGAGAGGAGGTGCCTCCTACATTGTTCGCCGTTGGTGATCGCGTGTATGTGCACGATTGACCGACCTCACTTCGGTTCCGAAGTCTCATGCAATAATTGGTAGTCTTGTCCAAGGCTGGTTCGATCTCGCCGAGCAGTCTGCCCACGGAACATTCACTCAGTATTTCTTGCTTCCCTATAAGCTTGTCGCAAAAGTAAGTAGTGTGTGAATTCACTGTTAGGTAGTCTCAGGCTTATATAACTCTAACCCGGCAGATCCCCGACTCTCTTGCGTACGAAGATGCAGCAACTATCCCGACCGGCGTTGCAACCGCCGGCTTCCCGCTCTACAACCAGAATGAGTCTGCAGCGTCTGTTAGGCTTACCCCACCATGGGTCAAGGGCGGACGGGGCAAATACGCCGGCAGACCCATTCTCGTGATTGGTGGCGCGAGTTCTATGGGACAGTTTGGTTTGTAACTTCTGGAATACCACGACGAGTATTCCAGTACTGATAAGCATATATAGCTATACAATTCGCCCACCTCTCTGGCTTCTCGCCGATCGTTACAACTGCATCCCCACACAACACACCCCTCCTCCAAACTCTGGGTGCGACGCACGTCCTAGATCGCAAGCTTTCTTCCGAAGAGCTCATCGCCGAAGCCACAAAAATCACCGGTGGCCCTTTCGAAGTCGTCTATGACGCAATCGCTTCCGAGGAAACTTCATCTATGGCGTATGCAGTGACGGCACGGGGAGGGCACCTCGTCACCGTTCTCAGCAATCCTGCACTGGAACTAAGGGCTAAGGAGGAGGGAAAGAATGTGGACTTTGTACACGGGGTGTTCAAATCTGAGGTCAACCGTGATATTGGGCGATCGTTGTTGGATGCACTCCCTGGATTGCTCAAGAGCGGTGACATCAAGGTGAGTCTCTAACAGTTGTGGCACGTCGGTGATACTTACACTGTCTGCCGATGCAGCCAAACCGCACAGAAATTCTCCCAGGTGGCTTGAACGGTGTTGTCGAGGGATTAGAGCGCTTGAAGAACGACCAGGTCAGTGGTGTCAAGTTGGTCGTCCGTCCTCAAGAAACTGCATGAGGGTCTCCGGCTCGATAAGGCCTTCCTGGCAGTCGTTGAATAGTGTTCCGAGAGATAGCATATCTGTCTGCACACACGTTGGATTGCGAAGAACAATTGCCATTCACAACTTGTATATGAGGTGATTGCGGATTGGGAGACTGTTGTCGCCAATGAACTCATCGCTGGAGTTACTCGGGGCTGCAGGCGATTCAAGGATCTCGATGACCGGTGGAGCCCCAAGGCCAATGATATCAATGAAGAGGATGCGAGTAACTTGGGACACACCATGCGATGTTTAGGAGCAATTGATAGGCCAAGCCAGACGACCACAGGCCGCCAGCGTGGATGTATTAGTGCAGCCTGCGATTAGTGTTGGGTGCGGTCACCGTGGATCGGAGCTCGAACAGAGCAAGCCGGAGCCGACGAACGACTCGCATCACGATTTACCACTCTTGCTATCGCGTCCACTGCCACACACCCTCGAGTTTGTCTTCGACGCTATATGTGCACTGGCCGAAGTGCAATGCCGGTAAATTGGAGTGCAACCTCATTCGCGGACAGCGCATTCAGCTCACATCCACGACAGCGACCGTCATTCCTCCACTACGTCTTATCACCTAGGCTTGCGACACCAATGCGCAGCATGCCGCACAGTGATAGACTGCTATGGACGCCCTCGACGCCCTCTCTTCGTGTCTAGAAGACGGCTATCCCTTGTAGTCTCAGGGACGTAGTTTGGAGAGGACACCCGCGGAAGTCAGGTGCGTACTCCTTCAGCCTCTATACAGATGCACGACAATACTATGGAGTGGCTGGTGTCCCTGGTTGGTCCATCGCGATCCGGATCGACTTAAGAGACTATGTCACTATGCAGAGCGCACCTTTGCCGTCCCATATGCGGGTCTGCGTCGCCCATCGGGCGCATCCCTTGAGCGCACCCTCCCGCGAACACGCTGCATATTAAGTCGACGGAGATGGTTGTATTTGTGCTAGGAAGTGGATGTTTTGAATCGCTTCGAGGAGTAACGGTGGGAGCGGGAACTGTACCGGCCGCAGGTTGGTCGTAATATGCAGGACGGACGACAATTGATGTTATTTGATTTCACCATCTACTTTCCTCATGTTTGCTTGCTCCGAAGGAGCAGAGGCTGGCTACCTTTTGACAAGGCAAGTTTTCCCGATGAAATGTGTCATTCGACACAGCTGGGGAAACGTGGGTGGACGCATCAGTCGGTTCTGTGCGGTCTGGCATGGTGGATGAGGCGCAGGGGTCGTATGCTATCGTGTCCTACTGGTAGAATTGCCATACCTTGTCGAAATACGGCCTCCTGGCCTCCTGACAGGACTGCGCGGACTACAATTGGCGCTCGTGTCAGTTGCGCACGTCATAGAACGTAGTATACTGTATACACCATCGTATCATTGATCCTCTGCTTTTCATTGATGGACCAGACGTGGAGGACCAGGCACGGCAGGGAATCGGATGTTTTCGATTGGAGAAAAGTCGATGGAATGGGGACGCAAAAGGCAACAGCCCGTCGTTTTTCAATGACTTTTATCCAGAAACGCCACATATTCACGGATTGTTTGCCTCGCGCTTCCCCTTTTCAGAGACTTTTCTCCAGCTGGAAATATCCGATTCCCTGCCGTGAGGAGAAGCGCTATGGTCGGTAGCGTTGATGGGCCGATGCTCGCAGAACGTCGCGACAGGCAATGAAACGTTGATGCGGCACTCCACGCGATGATTGCCATCAAACTCCAGACTCACGGTCGGGAGTTTGTCCCCGGCATCCGCACCTTCGCCTGAAAGGGCACATCGGCATGCGCAACCGGTATACGACGCCAGTCATTCTGGCCCGTTTTGTCACTTTCCTAAAGCAGATGTGGATATAAATGAGGCGCCATCCCACCATGAGTTTCTCACTCTCCTCCTGCCCACCAACATCCAGGAGATTGTTCGTGTGGAGGCAATAGAGAACACACTCTTTTGCCTGACCCGCGAGCATCCTTCAGGCCCTGCAACATCGCCATTGCCAAAGCCTGCTTAGACGTGGACGTCAATCTCACTCGTTTGCCTGTCTTCAAGATGCAGCCGTCTACCATCAAGCCTCAAAGAATACAACACACGCGTGCCCCTTCATTGTCGTTCTCTTATTTTCCTTTCCCGTCGGATAGACAGTTCCCTCTTTATGCGCACTGCAATTCCCAGCGTACTGGGTGTGTTCCTACAATCCGCTGCGACACCAATCTTGTCGTGTCATCTCATCGGCGAGATCTCATGGTACGCACACTGGCCTGCGATACTCTACCTCCTGATGTGTCTGACGTTCACCAAGCAAACCGTCGACTACCGCTTCTCCCCCAAATGCACGAGGCGATCTAGCTTCGCACTGGTACGTTCAAATACTCTCTTCTTATGTCCTCTCAATTCGTGACCTTCGCGTGCTTCAAGTCGGACATTTTTGAGATGGATGAGGAGGTCGTTGAGTTCGAGATATCCCCCATTCTACCGTCTACGCCCAACTCCGCGACTACCCGAAGTGTGAAGTTACGCATGAAGACCGCCCTACATGTGCGTAGCTCTTGGCATCAACAACGCCTCCCTCTCTTCTGAATGTCTCTCAGGACTTCGTGCAAGCCGTCAAAACCAAATTGAATCATCCCCGTTCACCCAAGATGTACATCGTCGAGCCTGCAAACAGCTCGCGCAAAGTTGTCCTGTAGTAATCCCTTGTTGATCGTTCGAAGAATACCGGAGTAGCATTCTTGTACAGTATCCCTTAGGCCCTATAACTGCCTTGTACTTTGTTGTAGAGCCTGTTAATGCACGACGAACTTCGTCTGTTCCCTGTCCCGCATTGCAGTGGAATTGTTACCGTCATTCGCACGACAAGACCTAAAAAGGACATACCTCACAGAATTGCCGCCAAACAACTTGAAACAAGACGCGTCCGCGAGCACGGGCGCTTCAAAGGTCACCATGTCTTTCGTCCAAGCTCTCCGACGACAAGCACGACTCAACGCCTTCTGGGCACCCCGGAGATGTCTCGCTAGCCAGAGCGCACCCGCCGCAGCGTTGGCAGCATCCCCAGACTCGACCGGCGCGTCACCAAAAGCCAGCGGTGGTGAGCACGCGTCGACTCATTCTTCGCATCCTTCGTAAGCTCATACGTTCCGTCTGGTGCCGCAGCCCCCAAAGCCTTTTCGGCATGCCCGGAAAACATGGTCATGCAGGGCCTTAACTATTTGAAGGGTCAGCCAGAAGTCGTCGCGCAGGCGGACGATGCGTACCCGCCATGGCTCTGGACAATACTCGACAAGAAAGAGCTCCCCGACGATGGACCTGGAGGCTTGGCCGAGAAGAAGCGGTTGCGTAAGGCGAACAGGCAGCGCATACGGGATCAGAACTTCATGAAGACTCAGTGACGGGCTAGGGGCTCGCTTGGATGGGATTCGAATTGCTAGTGAGTCTGTCGTGTGTCTATTTGCTTCTACAACGGCCTGACGCGTACACTTGAAGCCACGTATATGTATTGACACTGCTAATCACTACTTCCACTGCTTTCACGTCACTGTCTACAATCTGTGTCCCCATCTACCTGTTGAGCTGGAAGCTAAGGAACGGTTGGCCGGAGTACGGACAGGAGATCCGTCTACCGCAATAACACTTGCCTCACGTTCTTGACGGCAATGGACGTGTTCACTCTAGACGATAGAACGCAGGCATGTACTTGCCTCTACTCTACTCTACTGCGACATAGTACCGCTACGTTCATCTAGGGAACAGTCTAGACACGATAGCTGCCATCTCAAGCAGGGATGGATCCGAGCGTGAACAAAGTCTGTTTCTGCTTTCCCTTCCCCTTCTTCTTCCCTCCTCCATTGCCCGCACCCGCAGCATCTCCATCAGCCTGAGCTGGCTCAGCAGCAGCATTCGACCCGCTCCCTCCGCTATCGCCGCTCCACGCTGCCTGCGTCGGAGCAGAGCCACCTAAGATCTTCCGCAGCGACTGGTTGCCGCTGACAGCGGCCTTCGGCACGCGGATCGAATTGGTCGTCGGGAGCTCCGGGAACGCGGCCTTCGAGAGCACAGAGGGGCCCGGCTTCGCCCTCGCGCCAGGGCCGGGAACCGAGGTTGGAGCGCGCACGGCAGGTACAGGGGACGATGTTGCCGCGGACGCAGCAGAGGAAGCCCACGGGGTCGTCCGCTGAGGCTGGCGAAAGGGGGTCGTTGTGACAGAAGGGCCGGCGCCCCCGCCTAGCGGCGGGAACGCGTGCGGTCCTGGGGCTGCGCGTGGGGCAGAGGTAGGGACGGAGCTTGTCGACGCCTGATTGTGAGAAGCCGGGGTGGAGGCGGCGGCACGGGCGACACGGTCCCAAAGCTGGCGCGAGGACTGAGCGGAAGAGCGCGTCGCCGTGGAGGACTTTGCGTTTAGGACGCGGCCGCTTGTCACGCCTGCCCACTCCAACCCCGTGGTCGTCGGGACGAGTTCAGGGAACTGGTTGCGTTGCTATGTGAATACCAAGCATTGCAGGATGCAATGGGGAAAAGAAAGTTCCGTAAGCACGCCACGCTGCACACTTAATAGTCACAACCACCGGCCTCGGTGCCGGCAGCCCTGACGGTAATGACGTACCTCGACCTTGAACCCGTTCCACGCAGTGAGCAAATCCCGCTTCTTGTCCTCCTCGTCCACGAGGTCAACCAGCGTGTTCACGATACTTGCCGTACCATCCAGGTTCCGATCCAACACGTTCCACACCGTTGAAATGAGGTCGCGCGCTCCTGACTCGGACGCACGGTACGAGCGAATCGCCGCCTTGACTGCGGGCACGGCGGTCGTGGGGTTCGGCGCGAGGCCAGCCATGCGCACCGTGAGCGCGCTGAGCCGAGGGTCCGCGTCGCCAGGCTCTGGGGACGGTGTCTGCCGACGGCTGGGCTGCTGACTAGAGGACACACCATTTCCGCCATCCGCCGTGAGGTTACTGCCGAACGCCTCTCTGCGTCGCGCTCCTGCGGCCTGGGGGCGCGACGCACCCCCAGGCGGGGCGACGATGTGCGGTGGAGGTTCGCGTTCCCTCTCGCGGTCGCCTCGATCGCGGCGTCCACGGCGGCCTGCGCCCCCTCCTGTTTCTTCGAACTCGAACTGGGCCTCGACGCGGCGTGCATCTCGCTTGTCACGGGCGCTCATCTCCGCGCCGTGCTCCTCCACCTGGTGCGCTTTAAGGTCAATTGCGGATCCGAAGACGACGAACTTCCGGGCGAGACACTCGGCTCGCCTGCAAGGATAGTGTGCGTTCATGAAGTGCTCCTCCTGCGCAGCCGGGGACGTGTCAGATATAGTTGTAGCTTCTGCGGTCTAGAAGGGGATCCGCTACTTACCAGTGCCTCGTAGTTACGGAAGCTGAGAAGGTACAGGAACGGAATGAATGATACGGGAAGCGCAGACTGGAGCTCGTGGTACTCACTATTGGTCCTTTACCTCATTCCGTTTGCACACGAAGCACTCCTCGTGTTTCTCGCGCATATGCGCGTACAGCTCGTCGTCCCCGAAGAAGCACTCGCGACAGAACTCACAGAGCGGATGGATGCCGCCCTCAATTTGTTGCGGTTTGTGATCGCGCCGGTGGCCACGGACCATCGACGGGACGTGGATGGGAAGCACATTCGGGTCGTACAGGGCGTGCTCATGGGCGAAGACTCTCTTGAACCGAATACATAGATCACTGACGAGGGGACGTCGATACACATACAGATGCGACGCAATGGGAGGACATACCACATGAGCTTCCCGTGCGTCGCACGGGTGTGCAGCTTGAGATCACTCCAGCCGTTCCCGATAAAATCGCACTGGGGATCTGGGCAATTGAATCGTAGCAAGATCAACGTTTCCTCCATCATTTCCTGTGTCTCAAACGAGATCGAAAGTTTTGCGTCCTTGAACGGGATATGCTCGGGAGTGAAAGAGGACCATGGTGCGTCAGCGGATGTGGTAAAGATCACAGAGGGTTGGGGTTCCTGACGTTAGTGCGGCAGCGAGAGTTAAGGCTCGGGCTTTACGTATAGCGGCTGACAGCGGGTGCGCACCTTGCAGAACGTGCACTCTAGTTTCTTGTACAGCGCCCGGAGGCGCAAGGCACAGACATGGCACGTCCTATGGTTGCACTCGGAGACGGACCAGTACTTGACGGGCTCGGCGCAGATCCAGCATACCGCGGCGTCCTCGACGGCCCCCTCGGTGGTCGCATCGGCACTATCCACTGCAGCTTCCGAGCTTGCAGCCTTGTCTGACGGGGTCTGGGCGATGAGAGCGGGGTGGGTGTCAGGCTTGGTGTTCTGTGCAGGATCGCGAGGAGGGCCGTGCTTCGCTGAGCCTCCGCGACCTCGGCGGCCCCTGTTGCCTCCGCCTCCAGCCCCTGCGCGGCCGCGACTGTTAGAAAGACGATTCTGGGTGGTTGTTGCGGTGGTAGCCATGCTTGCGGTGTGTAGAAGATGAATGTACTAGGGGAGGAAACGGTCGGGAGAGGGAGGATGACTGAAGTGCGGAAGCGCTGGGTGAAGAGACGCCTGTACGGAGCCGTAGCAAGGCGTGGCAAGTACGCTGGCAAGACGGATTGCTTCCGCGACCTGCTGATGGCTCCAGGCGGTCGGCAGAGGAATTCCCTGCTGGACACGATCAGGGCGGTCAGCGGCGCACGCGAGAGGCAAGGCCCCGTCGCATAACCAAAAATCCACCTCCCGCATCACTCCAGATATCTAGATTTATCAGAAAACAATATGAGACATTGACTGCCCTATTGATACTTATACATTTCCCCCATGCAACGCCCTACGCTCCTCGCATGTTCCCCTCCTCCCCCATGATTACTGACCATCCTCGCCGCTCCATCTCAGACCTGGCCGATGGCGATTCCGTTGCTCCCTCCAGCTCTCAATCGCTCTCGTCCTCTTCCCGCAAGTCCCAGTTCTCCCGAGACCGCTTCTTTCGGAATAAGCATGGCTCAAAAGTCCATGCCTACGACCCCAACCAGGCCCCCTGGCCACTCTCGTACGATAAGAGCACTCTTGAATTGTGAGTCCTCCCATCGCGCTATCAGCTCATACATGTCTGATCACGGGACGCGCACCATCCCAGAGAGATGATGGACACGGCTCTCACGTCTGCGTTCAAGGGCGTCGTCTCGCTCGTCGACCACAAAGGCAAGGAGCCTGCCCGTTGTTTGGACATAGGCACAGGGGTATGTGGCTGTTCGCGTCTACTTCTTACATTTTGCGTCTACTGGGATGGGACCCTGCGCCTCGCTCTCCAGTGTCGTGGAAGATTTCGCCGTGATTAGTGGTGGTAGTCCTAGTCACCTCCGGCCTTCGAGCGCATGTGCGCCTGCAAAGTAGCCAATTTGTTGGTCGGCACTTTTCGTGTACAAGATGTGCAGAGAGCGGCCTTCATCGCCCATATCAAGGAGGTGGGCGTCGAGAAGCTGCGCTACGTCTGGCTGCTCTTGCCAGATCCCCTAGACGGCTAGGACGGGCTACCACGGGAATAAGGTACACGCCTGCCGTGGTCAGCGTCGCCTTATCGCGTCTATCAGACGCCACCGGACGTTACAACGCATTTATAGAAGGCTCGGATGCGAGACTCATGTTCCTTCAGTTAGGTCTTTGGATTGTGAATTCCGCTAAATACTGGAAAAATTCGACATTTGTATGTATCCCGCGTCCTTTCAATGCATCGAGCGGCTTCATCTTCCCGCTTCCTAGGTTGGCTTCGATCTCGTCGACATCCAGATTCCGGTCACCGTGCTCCCTGATGATGAAGCTGCTCGAATAGAGTGGGTGCACGGTAACATGTAGGTATTCAACCTGCTGCGTGCAAAGTAGTGTACTGATATCCTCGCAGCTTGACTGATCCATTACCGTTCAGCGATGGGGAGTTCGACCATGTTCGGTTAACAGAGGTTGCTTTGGGTGTCCCTGAGAATAAGGTACGAACGCCTCATTAACAATTGCTGATTCTGGCTGATTACCTCACATTACAGTGGCCAGACGTCTTCGAGGTGCGACACATGGGACGTCCCCGTCCTGACGCTTTTGTCTCATCTGTGTATGACGACTTGTAGGAGGTACGGCGAGTGATGAAACAAGGCGGTACGATCGAGATCATCGAAGAAGGTAACCTCGCGGCTTGATCGGTTCTTACGCCCGCTCTAACCCCGAACGCAGATGCGATCTTCCCTGTGCTGCCACGATGGTTCACAGAACCACTGCATGCGCGAACACGATGGCCGTCTATCAGTATGCAAGATAGGTCCAAGGCCTTCTCGAACCCTCAAGTTTCTGCACAATCCCAGGTGGCACATGAGTATGAGCTCCTGGAGATCCTCTTCGAGAACGTTTTTCAGCGAAGATTCATCAACATGAAACCGAGTTGTGAGTCGTCCTGGGTCAGTGGAGCGCCTTCTTCGGCTGTCAGCGCTTATACTCTGTCCGGACAGCGTCCCTACCCGCATACTTCTCCGTCTACTTTGGGCATGTCCTTTCTCCGCCCGTCTTGACTGTCCCCATGCCGCCTCTCCCCCCTGTCCAGCCCCGGCCCCCGCCGCGGAGCTCAACATCCAGCCATTCTGACTCATATTACGGCGACCCAGATCTCCTGTACGATGCCGAGGCGCAAGGCGAGATGTCCCTTGCGACCCTCCACGGGCCCGTCCGCAAGAAAAAGGGCAAGAGCTCGGTCAAGCGAACATCAAGTTCTATCTCTCCGTCCGGTACTAGCATATCCTCTGGCGGTGCAAGCCCCTTGGCGCGTTCGTACTCCGAGCAGCAGTCCAGGAAGTCCTTGAACGGCTCCACCGGTAGCCTGCACGGTCACGGCAACGGCAACAACACAACACCGCCACCTCCACTGCCGCCGATCCACACGACAGTGACGGCGTCGGGTATGCCCATCTCTTCGGGCCCCAAGATCGGCGGCCGCTCGCGCTCGTACTCGGGCGCGTCGATGATGTCGATGGCGTCCAAGCGCAAGGCCGCAATCCAGGACCTCGCGGCCGCGAGCACCGTCATCGGGGGCCGCTCGCAGATTGAGCTGTTCCCGCTCGACGGACTGCTCATGTTCGACGTGCACTCGCTCTGCCTGCACCTCCGGCGCGCGCTCGGGTTCGTGCTCGCGATCCGCGAGGCGATGTGGGAGGAGCTCGCGAGCCTAGTGACCAGCCCCGCCCGGGACGTGGACCTGACCAAGTACGGGTTCTTCCCGCACGAGGACACGCTCGAGAACATCCGCTCCAAATACTTGCAGCTGCTCGACCAGTACAAAAGGTGCGCCTGTTCTCGACTTTCCGCGCTGTCGCGTGGTGTGTTCGTCGGGTCTGAGTAGGCTGACTGAGTTGGCTGCCTAGCGATATGCATGTGCGGATGTCCCTCTGGCATTCGCTCGTCCATTTCGGGTGGGATTACCCCCAGCGGGATCCGATGTCCAAGGCGGAGGAGATGGAGGAGGTTCGTCTCCGAGAAGACATCCTCATGGCTCGTCGAGAAGCTGGCGCTGAAAACGAGCGCGAGCCCCCTTGTCGCGCCGTGCGCATGCTCGTTGGCGCCAAGGTATAACGACTAATGAATAATTCCCTACGAACATTCCTAATGCTTCGTATATTGTTCTGTGTGTAAATGTTTTGCTATCGGTACTACCGACCCCATGCTGTATAGTTCCGTTCTTTGTTGTGGACTAGGCATATACTGACTACTGTAGAGCATTCTTGTTGTATGAGGTCAATCACTACGGGCACTCTAATCGCTAGTTGTAGTAACAGGTTGATTATTGATGAGATATGGTTCGTCATTTCACCCACCCTTCGACTCAAAATATCGAGACTGTTGAGTCCGGCGAGTCTGCCGGAGTCTGGCGGACTCCGGGGATCACATGACGTTCTCGGGAAGCACCCTTGGCGCCCAGACACCTAGACCTGTGCCATCACTCCATCTCGGTAATTTACGTCTCGCCCCCCGCCTATTGGCTGTCCATACATATTATATCATATCGCATAGCGTAGAAGTCTATTCTTATGATATCTTCGATTTCCATGCATGGTTACCTGAAGGTCGCTCCCGCAAGTCTGGGGTATTGAGGTTTTCGCGACGCAGCTGATTCATTGACACCACCTTGCATGAGGACAAATCGTAGTG